AAAGGTAGAGAAAAAAACATCCATCAACTCTCAGAGTCGCATTTAAAAAAAAAACAGCATAGAAAAAGAAAAACAATTAGCATAAAATAAGATGGCATGATCAAAATAATCAAGCTTTAAGTATCTTATAAGCATGAGAAATATATGAGGACATAAGTGTCCAATTAAAAGACTATCAGTCCGCATGAAACAATGCTCAGCATCCCTCCTCATCAGGGAAATACAAATCAAAACCACACTGAGATACCACCTCACACCAGTCAGAGTGGCTAAAATGAGCCAATCAGAGAACTCTAGATGCTGACGAGGATGTGGAGAAACGGGAACCCTCCTACACTGTTGGTGGGAATGTAAACTGGTACAGCCCCTCTGGAAAACAGTGTGGAGGTTCCTAAGGAAACTAACACTAGAACTCCCCTATGACCCAGCAATAGCACTGCTAGGAATTTACCCTAGGGATACAGGAGTGCTGATGGATAGGAGCACATGTACCCCAATGTTCACAGCAGCACTCTCCACAATAGCTAAAACATGGAAAGAGCCTAAGTGTCCATCAACAGATGAATGGATCAAGAAGATGTGGTTTATCTATACCATGGAATACTACATGGCGATGAGAAACAATGAAATCTGGCCATGTGTAGCAACATGGATGGACCTTGAGGGTGTTATGCTGAGCGACATAAGTCAGGCAGAGAAGGACAAATATCATATGTTTGCACGTATAGGAGGATTAGGAGGAACTTGATGGAGGAACAAGGAGGAGAAGAAGGGCGGAAATGGTGGGGGAAAGGGAGAGAGGCAAACCATGAGAGACTCTTGAATGCTGACAAAAAACTGAGGACTGATGGACGTGGGGGGAGGAGGGTATGGGCATGGAGGAGGACACTTGTGGGGATGAGCACTGAGTGTTATGTGGAAACTAATTTGACAATAAACTATTTGTAAAAAAAAAAAATAAAATAAAATAAAAGACTATCAGTCCGGATTTTCTCTTTAATGACGATACAAAACGTAGCAACATGCTATTTAGGGACAAGCCTACCAACATTAGGACATAGAATGAATGACCGTAAAAGGATGGAAAAACATATCATGAAAATACTAACACTGAACATGTTCTCCAGACTGAAAGCACCTATTTGAAGAAAGGATGTTACCCTGACAACCACAAGATGAATCTAGTAAAAAATTAATAGAATAACCTGCAGTTTACAACCTTGTTGGGGAAGCAAAGAAACATTAGCCTGACCTCCACACCATGTATGATGATGCTCCAAAGACAACATTGTTATAAGAACGGTCAAGCAGGCTACTGCTCTGCAAAAAGAGAAATCCTAACCAACTCCCTCCTGCCAACCCCAGCAAGACATACTCTTTTACTAAATTGTCTCTTATGAGTGACTCTGAAACCCTTTGCCATCCCAGCACCCAAGTCCTGATCCCTGAACTCGGACACACATCTGCAATTATAGCACTAACAAAGTTAACACCAGAGGAAGCATTCACGGGACACCTATGTATTGGAGGCACACTTGTGTAACCCGCAGCTCAAAATTCCTCAGCTACAGCAGAGAACGGCTGATGTTCACATGTGGCATCCCGTCCACGTACCATGGAAATGCGGGAATTCACAGCCCCTAGGGCACCGTCACTCCACTTTTCTATCCTGCTCAGTAGGTCAGAACATAAATGAGAATGACAGTATTGTGATTATCTCAAGGCCTCTCTGGTCTATAAAAACTAAAACTCTTTGCCAATATTGATACAGCATTAGCAACCCTCACTCGTGATGCACCTTACAACAGACTGTGATGTCATCACTAGTTTCCATGGCACCTGACATGTTTTGAATCTCCACTTTGTCAAATTCCGGCATTCTCCCTCCCTTGCTCAAAAGCACCCACTTTTCATCTTCTGAGTAAAAAACCCACAGGCCCTAAGATGGTAGCTTTCAGCCCTAGTTGTACATCAGCCTCGGCCTACGTGCGACCTACAGAAATCCTAACTCGTTGTTCTGGGCAAGATCCCTGCCAGCAATACTTTTCAAAGTTCCCCAAGGCCACAAATCCAGCTTCCTGGCTCCCCACTTTGGCCTGCTGCCATCTCAGAGTGAAAGTCCCATCTCCTTGCTCAGCTCAGAGGAGATGGTGTCTAGGTTTTGCAAACCCTGCCCTGACTATCCCACCACGTAAGGATTCCTGGTCATCCCGTTCCTCCTCCTCCTCCTCCTCAATTCAGTGCTATAACCAACAGAAACAAAGCCATGTTCGAATCCATTGGCACGTGAATTACCAGACTCACAGAAGAACTGCGGTCTACACCAAGTCTCAAAGAATTAGAGCCAACACTGAAGTGTCTCTATCTGGCCTGTACGAGAGCAGATGCAGTATGACGGCTTGCAGATACCAAGAAAAACCAACTTAGTAGTTCCCAACTCCTTGCCTATGGGAACAGCTTCATCAACATAGTGGAAAGGCTTCGGTTAAAACTGTGTGAGCCGAAGTACATACTCATGTTTGAATAGGTTCTTGCTCACATACCCATGGGTATATTTTTCAAGATCTATTTCTACACCTGGAAAAGTTCAAAAGGATACACGGCAAAATGTTAACAGTGGTTCCCCTGGGGTGGTAGGTATGTGGGAGATTTTTTTTTTCTTTCTTTTTTGCTTCTCTGTATATGCCAAAATTTCTAGAGTGAACATGTACTGCTTTCATAGATGAATAATTGCCTGCACCCCAAAAGGGAGGAGGAAATAAAAGATCTGGGTCCTAGGGGCGTCTGGGTGGCTCAGTTGGTTAAGCATCTGACTCTTGATTTTGGCTCAGGTCATGATCTCACAGTTTGTAGGTTCGAGCCCTACATCAGGCTCTGTGCTGACAGTGTGGAGCCTGCTTGGGATTCTCTCTCTTCCTCTCTCTCTCCCCCTCTCCCACTTCTCTATTTCTCTCTCTCTCAAAATAAATAAATAAACTTTACAAAAAAGATCTGGGTTCTAGATCAGCTCTGCATATTATTACCTTGGGCCACAGCTTTTCCTCTCTGTGTAGTCAAGTGAATGCTCCCTCAGGGCCTCTCCCTCAGTGACATTCAAGGATCTTAACCACCCCTCTGCTTATCAGTTAAAGTCCCAAGGGACTCCCCCACACCCACCCTTACTCCAATCATAAATTTATATTCTGCTATACTCGTTTCTCAGGCTAAAACTCAAGACCCTGATTAGGTTGTCACCTTTGTATGAACTACAGTAAAAGCGAGTCTCCATTAAAGACCCTGATCTTACTGGCCTCGCGGAAGTTACGCCTCCAGGCCTCCCTGGCTGAGACTAACACAGATCAAGCTCACCTTTCTCTCCAGCTAGGCGAGAATAATCCAATAGGCCTTGCAGCAGGAATTAAAGGCAAGAGGCATTCACACTCCTTATCACGCTGGGTTTGGATTAACTTCCCCGAGTCAATGCAACAGCAAGATCTATAAGCAAATCCTGATAGGATACAGGGCAGTTGTGTCACCATGGAGACGGATACCACAAGCCCCACAGGTTATCCACAGTGTTTGAAAGAGATTTCTCAACCTGGGACAATAAAGGAAGTTGGAACCCGGAAAAAGAAAAACTTTACAACCAATCCCTGGATGACTCTTAAAAGCGACCTCCTGAGGACATTGTTGGCAACAGGGAAGGGAAGAAAAACTAGTGAGAATTGAATACATAGTGTGTTCGATGTTTTATTAATTCCTGGGTTGTGTTATTTCTACACATTCCTTATTTTGCAGATAGGGAAAGTGGGGTGACGGGGGGGCACTGCTACCAACACTAACAAAGTTCTACTCGAAAAGATTAACAGTGAAGATGCCTCAGGGCAAAGCATGAACAGATACCAGAAAGTAAGGTGGACAGTGAAGTGAGTCCTTCCCAACTCTGCTTCTGGAGCAGGCACTCACGCTTTCTCTGGCCAAAGATTCCCAGATCCTGAAATCAGCACAACGCCAAGGAGGCCAGGAGGGTCACATCCCCCACTTTCCAGCTGTGGGACGTTAGGTGAGTCACTGGTCCTGACACCAGAGATCTTTGCCTCACCTCCAAAGCCGGAATGCAGAGGAGCAGGGGATGGTGACAGGTGCCTGGTGCTCACAACAGGCTGCTCTTGGGACCCCCCGCCGAGCCCTCTTCTCCTTCAAGTCTTTAAGAACAGGGCTCAGCTGGGGACCTGGGAGATTCCCACAGATGGAGACAGGAGAGAGAAGGCCAGGATGTCTGCCCTTCTGCCAGCTTGCTCCCTTCTCACCTGGCCAGCAGCTCCAGCAGGGATTAGGCCTCTGACCGCACAGGCTCGGGGCCTGCACCACCCACAGGAGTGAGCTGAGCTGGGCCGCAGCCAGAAGGAGCCCTTCCCACCAGGACTCCTTCCTGCCCTCCTCTGCTGAAAGCTCAGGAATCCAGCTCCCAGTGAAAGGGAAGCTTAGGACTTGGCCTTCCAGCGACCTTTCACCTCTCCTGCGCCGGCGCCCTCCCCTCCGGATTCATTCACGGCCTGACACACACTGATAACTGAATGGGGAGCCAATCTCAAACCCCAGGAGTCCTCAGTTTCACCAAGTAAGAGCCATATGGCAGAGCTGGGCTGGGGGTGGGGGCGCGGGCTGCTGTGGAACCAGGAAGAGCAACCAAAGGGGGTCTCACACCTATCTGCTTAGCCCTCACCCTCCTGCCACTATTTCATAGCCGAATGGCATGCTTTTCAAGGGGGGGAGACCACTCAGTCTGAGATTCGTCAATTTCTGAGACTTTTCCTATTTTCTTTCTTTTTTTTTTTTAACTTTCTTGCGTCGTCCCAACCCAGATGACCCCTTGCCCTGCTCACTTCCGAGAAAGACTCAATAAGACGCGCGATCCCCACGTATTTCGACGTCCCAGCTCCACCCCTCCACTTCACAGATGCAGAAACTGAGGCCCAGGGCTCCGCGGACAGTGTTCCCCCTGCCACCTGCGGACTCACAGCGGATTCCAGCGTTCGGGCAGGCGGCGGTGCAGCGAGATGCGGTCGCTAAGGTAGGTGTTGATCTGGTGCAGCCGCACGCTCTCCTCTTGCAGCCGCAGCTCCTCGCCCTGCAGCTGCAGCCGCACCGCCTCGCCCCGCGCGCCCAGAGCGTCGCTGGGCACCGGCGGCCGCGGTAGGACCGGGTCGCGCCGCCCCGGGCGTGGGGTGCGCGGGGGTGCCGGCTCGGCCGCCCTGACCCCCCGTCGCGCCCGCAGCACGGAGCCCAGTCCGCCCAGCGCCAGCAGCGAGAGCAGCGCCAGCAGCACCTTCCGGCCGCGCCGCAGCCCCAGCGGGCAGCGCCTCCGCGCTGCGCGCCCCCACATGCGCCCGCCAGCTGGGGCCAGCGCTCGGCTCCCGCGGGGGCTGCGGCGCAGACCCGGACCCGGATCCCGGAACCGCCGCGCCGCGCCGCCCCGCCCCCGGGCCCGCCCCACCTGCGCCCCGCCCCCTTCCAGCCCACCCCGCGCCCTGGAGGGTGGCTGGTCTTCACTGGGTCGCCCCGCGGACTTGCCGAGACTCGCACTACCTTTCTTGTTGGAAAAGGTGACGGCCGTAAAACCCTCAGCTCAGCGCCTGGCACATCGTAAGCGCCCGGTAAGTGTTGGCTGAATGCGCCCTGCAAGCCCTTATCTCATCTGACCCTTACGCAGTCCAATCACAGGGTAGTAGGATTGCCAGCTCCACTTGACGGATGATGGGACTGAGGCACAGTGAGCCTGTGTCACCGAGGCCTGCAGGCCCCACCAAAGACAAAAGTGTTTAGATTCCGTGAATAGCAAACTTTCTCCTGGTTCTCTGTTAGTCAATCTTTGTTTTATCCCTCACTTCACAAAGGCCTCCAAGAAACTGATAAAAGGAATGAACCCCCTCAGGGAAAACACATGCAGAGGCACCCATAATATGATCGCACACATCCCAGGCCATCCGTTCCTGTTAAGTACCCCTGACCTTGGCCAGAGGTTTCCTTTGAGGGGATTGAAGAAATGAAGGAGCCGCTGGGGTGCTGAAAATATTTAACAGAGTCAAGACTAGAGTGAGGCAGGAGGCTCTCTCTAAGGCAGGAAATGATAGGTTGGGCCAAAAAGAATCAGCAATCAAAAATAAACAATGCTTTTAAAAATCAAAATGAAAGCAAAAAATCCATAATGAACAAAATATCAAAATTCTAAAAAAAAACAGAATGTGACCCTGTGTTTACATGGCTCACCTCACAGGCCTCACTCACCCTAATCCCTGCCCTGATTCCGTGTCTAGATTTTGGTGGTGGTTACATGGAGATATATACACACACACATATATATGTATATATGTAAAAAGTCCTCTGGGCACGTGGGGGGCTCAGCCCATTGAGCCTCTGACTCTTGATTCAGGCTCAGGTCATGATCCCAGGGGCGCGGGTGCAGTCTGAGATTCTCTCTCTCCCCCTCTGCCCCTTTCCCCAGCTCGTGCTCTCTCTCTCTCTCTCTCTCTCTCAATCTCTCTCGCTAAAATAAAAAATTTATTTTAAAAAGTCATCAATTTCTCCTTTTAAAAATATGCATTTGACTTATGAAAGTTCTATCTCAATTAAAAACATAAAAAATAAAGAGAACTATGAGGAATAAGAAACAGGAATACCCCTGGCCTCTAGTACAAATGCTGAAGTCCTCAATTTGGCAGGAAGAGATGCTAAGAATACGACTTCATGTCAAGGTCAAACTCCCCATGCCGCTGGGGGAGAGGGGAGAGGGCCTTTACCATTTCACACCTTTGTAACACATGTTGTTCTCCCAACTTGAAGTGCCTTTCCCCACCTGGCAAACTCCTGTCTACCCTTAAGTCCCTGCCAAAAGCCACCTTTTCTGTGAAGCTTCCGGCAACTCCACAGCCTTTTAGGCAAATGCGTTCCATGATTGCATCACCCTTTTGTTATTAGTCAGGGTTCCACCAGAAAAATAGAACCAGGAGGCGATATATTAAGAGATTTTTTTGCAAGCGAGTGGCTTATACAACTTCGGGGGCTGGTTAAGCAAGTCCAAAATCTGTAGGGCAGGCCACCAGCAGGGAAGGCTGAAACTCTCTGGCATGAGCTGAAGCTGCAGTCCACAGGCAGAATTTCTTATTTTGTAAGGCAGCCTCAGTTCTGCTCTGAAGGCCTTTCAACTGATTGAATCAGGCCCGCCTACATAATCTCCATTAAAGTCAACTGATGGTAGACCTTAATTATATTTACAAAATATTTTCATGGAAACATCTAAATTAGTGTTTGAGTGAATAACTGGGGGTTAAGACCTAACCAAGCTGACATACCAAACTGACCATGTCTATTAGTTTCCTAGGGCTGCCACAACAAAGTACCACAGTCTGGGTGGCTGAAAACAACATAAATGTATTCCCTCTCAGTTCTGGAGGCTAGACGCCCAAAATCAGTCAGTCCCATAAGCAAGGTCATGCTTACTCTGACTGCTCTATGGGAGAATCCATTCCGTACTTTTCTCTTAGTTTCTGGTGTTGCTTGAAATGCTTGCCATTGCTTGGCTGGTCCACGCATTGCTCTAATCTCTGCCTCCACTGTCATTCTTCTGATGTGTGTCTGTCTCTGTCTCTTCTACTCTTCTTCTAAAGGGCACCAGTCAAATTGGATCTGACGACTTTGCCTTAACTTGATTATATCCGTAAAGACCAAATAAGGTCACATTCATAGGTACCAAGGATTGGGACTTCAACATATCTTGTTGGGGGACTCAGTGCAATCCATAACACCATCATACTTGGTTACAGTGCTTGGTACACTGGGCCATGTTTAATTTAACCCTAGCCTTGTAACAAAAAGAATGTAAGGGACTTAGAGTATGACGGGCGGTCACTTCATGATTGCAGAGCTTGGTATAGAGTCAGACACACAGAAAGTGCTCAGTTAATGGCTGGCTTTGTATCTCACACTCACTTCTGTGGGCATCGCTTTGAACTCGCTGGGGCGGTAGGTGTCTGATGGTTACATGCAGGGAGGAGTCACTCCCATAATGTGACAAACATGAATTCTTCAGGTCTGGTTCCTGGAAGGGCCTCCGTGGTAACTTAATATGGGAGTTTTCAAAAATCTGGCTTCCAGGAATGCTGGGAGACACCCAGGAAAGGAAAAAGGGGCTGACTGAGGCTCCAGTTCTCTTCCCTAAAACCAGAACATTGACACTTTTATTTGTTTAATGCTTTGAGCTTCCTTCTTAGACTACAGCACCCTCCTCCCTAATTACCAGACGAACTGGTAACAACACCAAAGAAAGTGTATCATACAAGTCCACAGCATGTCAGTGGCAGAACAGGAAATAAAGTGGCCTAAAAAGGTGTGGCAGAAACCTGTGGATGTCTGCCAATATGCGTTCTCTTCTCCTTCCTTAACAGTAGAACCCCTGAGTTGTGTGCTTGTTTCTCTGGGCCCATGGTCTTCCAAAATAAAAACTAGAATTCTCAGCCTCCTTTGCAGCCAGGCACGGCCATATGACTGAGAGTGTAGCCAATGGACTATAAGTGGTATTATCAGATGGTGCTTCTGAATAATGTCCTTAAAGGAAACTTCCTTATCCTTGCCTCTTCCTGTAGGCTGGATTGTGGCTATAAAGATCAGAACTCAAGCAACACTGTGGGTCATGCAGTAAAAGCCATGCACTGAGAGTGGTTAAACAACATGGCAGAAGAAACCCAGGTCCCTAACATTGTGGACATTGAACCAGTCCTGATAACCCCCTTCCAGGTTTTGCTTACATGAGGGAGAAATCAACTTCTATCTTGTTTATGCCACTGTTTCTATTTCTTTTTCTTTCTTTTTTTCTATTTTCTTTGTTTTTTTCCTTTTATTTCTTTTTTTTTTTTTTTTTTTTTTTGTCCTATGCAGCCAAATCTAATTCTAAGTGATAACAAGATTAATTGCACAAGAACTCCTCCCAAATCTGGCTCTGATAGTGTGGTGGTTTTAAAACAAGGCTGCAAATTATTCAATAGGCCCCTTGCCTTGAATTGGGGCAGACCTGTAACTGCTTCAACTATTAGATTATGGTAGAAGTGGAGCTCCTTGACTTCACTGGCTAGGAGCAGGAAGACATGAAGCTTCCACTTTGTTCACAGGATCACTGTTCTTGGAGCTCGAGCTGCCAGGGAAGAAATCCCTATCTCGGTGTTGTCATGCTGGGGAAGCCGCAGGTGGACAACCTAGCCAACAGTGCCAGCTGTGCCCAAACTTCCACCGGCCCAGCCAGCCCAGGCATCAGGCAGGTGAGTGAAGAAGCCATCTTGGAAATGATTCCAGGATGCTAACCATTAAGGTCATTTCACCTGTGGCTCCAGATGTCACAGAATGGAGAACAGAGGTGCCCTTGTCAAATCCTTGACTCACAGAATCCAGGAGCACGACACGATGGTGGTTGTTTTACACCATGAAGTTTGGGGATGGTCTGTTACTCGGCAAGAGGTAACTAGAACAAATGGAACACGGTTTTTAATTCAGAAAATATTTATTGAGCGTCGACTATGTGCCAAGACCATGGTAGAGTCTAGGCACACTATAACGAGCAAGTGTCAAAGAGAAACAAAACCAGACACTAAAGTGGTAAGGGCAGATTTTCATCAGTAACATGCTATCGCAATAGGGAAGAGGGCCCAGCGTGAACAGATTCAACTTTGATTTGCACAGAATGACTGGGCGTTGTAAATAGGGTCAGGGAAGTGAAAAATGAGAAAGGAGTAGTCAGCATAAATGCCGATAATGCCAGCTCTGTCTGTGTCTGGCAAATATCAAAGTTAGGATTCTGTTCTCACACAGAGACAGAGGCCCTATCCTTCCTGATGATTACGTTGTAAAGGAAGGGTTTTCAGTCCTTGAGAAAGACACTCTTGAATCGTAGGAGATACATATACATCTCAAAGGGACAGAGAAAGGATTTATAACTGTAAGCCCTTCTTAGTAAGTTCTCTAAGAAAGGGTAGTCAGGGACTGACAGTTAGGTGTCTGCTATGACAAACAGTAGATTGGACATCCTTGAGCTTTCTCAGGCAGACACTTAAGAGGGGGCGGGGGTCACCCTAAGAGTGCAGCCTTGAGCTGTTAAAAACTCTGTTACTGTTTACATTGTTAATATGAAGGGAGGTGGATGTATAAAATCATCTGTGTTCAGAGTCTGTCATCTTTATAGGCCAAAGTTAAGGCTTGGTTGAGAAGTGGGCTCAGAGGAGCCTGGCCGGGGTTTGTTTGATCAAGGAGAAAGTCTTTGTCACGACGCCTATTTGCAACATCATGGTGCTTAGAGTGCAATGGAATAGACAAATATTAAAAAGGTATCTTACTGGAGTTGTGGGAAGTGTTTTTGAAGAATTACAGCGTGCTAAAGCCTGGTTTAGTTGAGGGCTTTGAGAAGGCTTCTCTGAGGAAGTAATGTTTACATGGGGACCTGAATGTTAAAGTGATATCAGAGATTTGAAACCGTATTTTAGGTTAAGGTGGAGCTCCCTCTGCTGGGAGGGAAATTTGGGGAAATGAATATTTTTGTCTCTCCCATAAAAGGACAGAGTGAGTAAACTGTATTTAAAAAAAAAAAAAAAATCCTGGGAAGCTAGTCCAAAGCTTTTTAATTAGATATTCTCTATTTTCAAGGGGACCACAACCAAAAAAGTTAAGAGGCATAAATGTGGTCTGATTCTCTCATTTTGCAGATGCGGAGCCTGAGGCACAGAGCAGGGAAAGGGCCTTGAACAAGTTGGTGTCTCAGATACAGGTAGAATTTAAGCCTCCATCCTTGTTGACTCACAGCCTTCCTGGAGGAAAGGGGCTTTCCATGAACATCTCCCTGGGCTCCAGGCATCTCCTCCCCCATCCCCCACGCCCCGGGGCTCCAGGCGGGGGATGGGTTTGAAGAGAACCATGCAAAGCACTCCCACACAGGACAACCTGCTGAGGACACCAGACTGGTGGGAGGTGACTTCACCCACAGAACAGAGTCTGCTGGTTGGTGCTAGAAGGCAGGTGTGAGAGGAAAGGCCTGGAGCTGTGCCTTTTGGCCCCTATCCAGATGTTCAACACAATTAAGATCTGCGGTCAGATTAGAAAGCAGACTCGGATTACAACTCACACTGTCTTGGATCAGTTTACCAGATTGGAATGCTTCCTGATAGAGGCTCAGCTGCCAAGAAAAGAACGGCTCTACAAAACCCGGGTTCAAGTCCCAGATAATGGTAGGGGCTGTCATTTATTGAGCATTTCTAAGTGCCATAAACTGCTAGACTTTATTTTTCATGTACTATCTCCTTTCACTCTTTTTTTTTTTTAATATTTTTATTTATTTCTAGGAGAGAGAGAGACAGCGTGAACAGGGGAGGGTCAGAGAGAGGGGGAGATACAGATTCCGAAATAGGCTCCAGGCTCTGAGCTGGCAGTCAGCACAGAGCCCGACACGGGGCTCGAACCCACGAACCGCGAGATCATGACCTAAGCGAAAGTCAGACGCTTAACTGACTAAGCCACCCAGGTGCCCCACTCTCCTTTCACTCTTATGACGACATTGCAAGGTAGACAGATGAGGAAATTTAGGCTCAGAAGGCGAGGTGACTTATTCAGGGTCAAAAGACATGGAAGTGCAGAGTGATGGTCTGGGTCCAAGTCTCTTGACTCCTAATTCAGGATTCCCCACCACACAATTCACTGGCAGACTGCTGTGAGGCGAAAAGGCAGCTTAGTTTAATGCATAGGCACACAACTGTGGAGCCCACTTGCCTGAGCTCACACCTCAGCCCCATCACAGATTGCTGGGTGGCCTTAGGCAAGTTACTTAACCTTTCTTGACTCAAGTTGCTCATCTATAAAATGGTGGTGATTATAATAGTACCTCCTGAGTAGGGTTCTGGGGAGGATTGAGTGCTGTAGTCTACACAGCCACCCCAGGCTCAAAGCAGGGTGGGAAGAATTTCTACAAAGGCAAATGGAAGGTGTCCAGCACCTTGCTACTCGAAGTATGGTCCTTAGCCCGGCCGCATTGGTACCAACTGGGAGCTGTCAGAAATACAACAGCTGGTTAGTGGAGATAAAGCACCAGGAATGGTCTCTGCCCAGAGTAAGCCCTATACAAATGTTACCGATGATGACAAATGGCACCCAGCTGGGAAAATCCAGCTGGGACTTTAATTCTTTTTGCACCACTTCGAGTACCTTGTCCTTCCCTTGGGTTTGTTGTTCATTTGGGGGAGCTTATTTGTTCTTTGACCATACCATCTTGTTTCATCAGCTGTTCAACCAACAAATAGATCTCTCTAGAAGACACTTTTGATTTTTTTGTATTAGCTCCCTTCATAGGGGTCATTACACCCCTTTGAGAGTTTAGCGTGATATATGGTAAATGTGAAATTTCAAACATTAGTGGAGAAAAGATGGCTGATTCAGTCAATGACTGGGGCAACTTAATAGCCATTCAGAAAAAAATAAAGTTGAATCCCAAACTCACACCTTATACCAACATAAATTCCAAATGATCTAAAGATGTAAAAGTAAAAATTAATAATAAAAAAATCCAGTAATAAAGGTATTGGATGAAAGAGCCAAAAAACCTTTATAGAAAAGATCTATAAAGTTGACTACATAAAAATTTTAATATTCAGTAAGGCCCAAAATAATATAAACTCAAAAGCAAAAGACAAATCAGAAAGAGATATTTGCAGATGACATTTACCCAGTATGTGAATCAGCAGGGAAATAAAAAGAACAGAAATGAAAATGGCTGAAAGGAGGCGCCTGGGTGGCTTAGTCGGTTGAGCATCCGACTTTCGCTTAGGTCATGATCTCGCGGTTTGTGGGTTCGAGCCCCGCATCGGGCTCTGTGCTGACTGCCAGCGCAGAGCCTGGAGGCTGTTTCAGTCTGTGACTCCCTCTCTCTCTGACCCTCCCCTGCTCACGCTGTCTCTCTCTCTCTCTCCTAGAAATAAATAAAACATTAAAAAAAAAATTAAAAAAAAAAAGAAAATGGCTGAAAGACAGTTCACCCAATAAAGAAATACAAATGGTCTATAAACATATCAAAATGTGTTCAATTTCTCTATTTAAAATGCATGCAAATTAAACTTACTCTGAATCACGTTTTCACCTACCAGATTGGCAAAGGTTAAAAGGTTTTTGATTCCGGTGTTGGCAAGGACGTGACTAAACAGGCACTCTTATCCACTGTTGGTAGGAATGCAAACTGGCATAACCTTTTGGAAAGCAATTAGGCAACATTTATTAGAAATATTAATGTCTATATCCTTTTGATTCTGCAGTGTCACGTCAACAGAAATAGATTCACAAGTGCTCAAGAGATGTGCTAAGAAAAGGAAGCCTTTTGCAGTATCGTGTCTAAAAGCAGGAAGGTGTTAATAACCCAAATGTCCACAATAGGAGATTATAAATTACTGCACATTCACTCACACACTAATATACCAAAGTATCATTAACAGGAATGAAACTAATTCTAGGTGTTTAATGTACAAATGTGCTTAAGATGCATTATTAAGTCAAGAAAAGCAAGTTGTAGAGCTGTATAGATGGTATGATCCTATTCTGATAAAATTTCTTAGTGTACACAAAGGAAAAAAACTCTAAGGAAATATCCAAACTATTAACTATTATATTTATTTCTGATGACTCAGATTCTGTGAGCCTTTCCTTTCCATTCAATTGAATCATGTTTTTCAACAAATATTTATTGATTACCTACCACCTACCTATCACTGATTTCAAAGGAGCTCACATTCTATATTTGCACAACCTTGGAATTCTTTTCAACAAACATTATTATCATATTAGGGAAAACAAGTTAGACATTTAAAAGTAAATAAGTACTCTTTATTTTTTCAATGTTTGAGAGAGAGAGAGAGAGCGCGCGCAAGCAAGCAAGCACAAGTGAGAGTGGGGGAGAGGCAGAGAGAGAAAGAGAGAATCCCAACCAGGCTCTGCACTGTCAGTGCAGACCCCGATGTGGGACTCAAACTCATAAACCATGAGATCATGACCTGAGCCGAAGTTGGACACTTAACCAACTGAGCCACCCAGGCCCCAGTAAGTCTTCAGAGATGATTTTACTTGCAGGCCGTCTTTACCTCCTTTCTAATCCACTGCACCAGTGTCTGGAATCCAGCCCCTGGTCCCTCTTTCCAATCTATATCCTCTCTTTTCTTCCCGCTACCCAGATCTCCCCCAGTCTTTCTGCCCAACTTGTGACCAGGCTCTCCCATGAAGCTGTCAGTGATACCCCCAGACTGTGATACCTGCCTCTGAACTGATGATGAAGCTCACAGACCACCCTCTCCACAGTCATGTGGGATCCCCTGGGAGCCAGCGGCTGACCCTATTGTCCGTAACATTCCATCACAAACGATGCCGGGCACACAGAAGGTGCTCAGTAAGTGTTGGCTGGATGAGTCTGTGTTGGTGATGGAGGTACGCTGCTCGGATCATCCTTCCAGAGAGCCCTGCCCTGACCCCTGAGAGGATGACTGTGGGGACCGTAGGAGCAGACTCGAACGTCTGGCTAACAGTTGGGTTTAGCACTAGAGGACAGGAGGCGGGTGAGGTCAGAGGACTTTATTCCTCTGGGGAGTGCTCCCTACTAGGTTATGCGGCTTGGCTGTGTCCCTCTACCAAAGGTCCTAACTCCTATCAGCTAGATCTCTCCATTTTCTCTCTTGCAGAATTCCAGTGACTGCTCTCGCCCTTCCGCCTTCTGGCCTGGGTGACAATGGCTCCCTATTGTTCCCAGCTCTGGAGTACTGCACCAGCTCTTGTGGCTTTTAGTAAACCCTGCCCAGACTTCTATAATTAGTCCTTTAGTAAATCTTCCTCACTTCTTCAGCCAAGTGTACCATCTGTCTCCTGCTGGGACCCTGACTGCTATAGCCACTGTTCCACGCGAGATTTTTTTATAATAGCAGAACTCTGGAAACAAGTTAATTGTGCACCATTAAAAACTGATTAAATAAATTATGGAACATCTGCTTAATCATGTTACATGCTACCACTGAAAATGATATGGCAGATCTATAGTCACCTGCATGGAAAGATGCCCAGGCATTTGTCAAAATTTTAAAAAGCAAGATTCAGAATAGGCTGCATTGTCTGAACTCATTCATCCAAAATGTAAAATACACATTTGTTAAGGCTGGGTTTGAGGTGAGGACAACCCTGCTCAAAACAAACCTATCAAAAAGTATGGGGGGGCAGGCGGCGAGGATTTTCCGATTCCCTCTCTTTCCATCACTCGTCTTGCTTCCCTGAGTGGTAGCTTCACTCTCAGGCAGCCAATCTTCAAGTGGTGGCAGAGCAAGGACCCGTTCGGCTCACGACACCCGGACATCCTGGCAGTGAACACTTCAGCACAGACGGCTTTGTTCCCAATCGTTTGGCAAACAATCCTGGGCCAAAGCAATAAGGACGGACTTGGACATATGCTAACCACTGAACCATACACACTGAGAGCGGAGAGGGAGGCTCCCCGGGAGAAAGGGGGGATTTCTTTCCCAAGTAAGAGAAACAGGACAGGTGTAGGCAGCAGGGATTCGCTCTAGGGAATATTTGTCGTCAACATTTGTTGTCTTTTTTGTCTGCTCACTATCTGAGTCCTCCTGCCTATTCTGGAGAGTCTCCTACCTTCTAGAGCATGTATACTGGAGTGCACCCCCCCCCAACCCCGGCTATACATGCTGAAAGTTCCAGAAAGGCGCTTTCCCCAGCCTCCCTTTTTGCCAGGCAAAACATGAGACCCAGGCTGAGCCATTTACATGCTCTCATCTCAGGCTTTGGCTCTCAAGCTGGTAATGCAAAAAAGGGCTTGTGTCAGGGCGCCTGAATGGCTCTGTGGTTACATGTCTGACTCTTGATTTTAGTTCAGGTCATGATCTCACAGTTCGTGAGATAGAGCCCCATGCTGTCAGCACAGAGTGTACCTGGGATTCTCTCTCTCCCTCTCTCAAAACAAACAAACAAACTTAAAAAAAAAAAAAAAAAAAGGCCTGTTCAGACTCCATCCTGGTATAGGGTGCAGCCATAGAATGATCTGGGGCATCACTCTTGGTTGTGGGGCCTCCAAAATTTGTTTTCTGGCCCTTGTAGGATCTGTGAGCTACAAGAAGAACTTTGTATTAATCCCTCTTTCTAATTTCTAGCTAAAGGGTTAATTTCTACAGCTTGCAAGCAAGAAGGTGGATCAATGCCTATACAGACAAAGGCATGTTTGTATACGTGTGAAATATCATCAGAAAGATAAAACAAATGTGAATACTGGTTACCTGGGGGGAGCTGGACCAGGAAAGTGGGGGAAGAGGGAAAGGAGCTTTTACTTTTGTCTTATGTCCTTTTGTACTGTTGGAATTTATTTTTTATCATGCGTATTACTTTTATAATGAAACAACTAGTTAGTAAAAAGATACCTAAATAAACAGACTAAGAAAAGGATGCAATTATTCAGGATTTCCCCAGAAACAAATGTCTTCATTAGGCCTTAAAAAGGAAGTCATCCTCCCCTCTCCGGTGAATGGGGCCAAATCTAGAAGCGAGTGAGAGTGTACCGCCTCAGACACCGGGCCTAAGTGATTCGCTCTAGCCCTGTAACTCACCCTGGTCACTTTCCATGGCTCCCCATTACTCATAGAGTAAATCCCACAGTCTCCATCCTAGCCCTGAAGCCCTTGGCAGTCTGAGTCCTGTGTACTCTGGAGACCTTTCCTCATCTTTACACTGCGCTTAGAAGACTGTTCCAGCTCTGCTGGCCCAGATCCTAAGGGTTTTACTGTCTTCTCTGATCTTCCAATGTCATGACCTTTATTCCTTCTTCAGGCTCTCTGCAAGTTTTGATTTGTGTTATGTCTATGTACATGAGACTTAGTCATTTAACACTCATGTACTGGGCACCTACTATATGACTGGCCATCTTCTAGGTTTCTGGACCGCAGCTCACAATCCGCTGAAACCAATTACCCCATATCCGAATGTTGATGTTATCACGATGAGCAGGAAGCGTAGGCAATTTGCAAACAGGACTGCCCTTGTTAGGACCTTTTTTCCCCTCTGCCTGGATTGCACTCTCCCCAGATGTCATCATGGCTCCATTTTTCAATTTCTTCAGGTCTCTGTGTAAGTGCCACATTGTCAGCGATGCCTTCTCTACCCACCCTACTATAAAATAACGTCCTATCCTCTATCCTATTTACTTGGATTTATGTTATGCTCTATTTATTGCTTTAGTAGCACTCATCACCAACAGACATACAAGTTACTTACTTGTGTATTTACAGCTTGTCTTTTTCCATACAAGTTACTTACTTGTGTATTTACAGATTATCTTTTTCCACTGTCAGCTCCAGAGAAGCAGGGATTTTAGTTTGTTCCCTCCGGCTTCTCCAGTACCTACAACAGTGCAGAGTTGGCACTCCCTAAATGTTTGCTGAGAACAGGGGATTGGGCTGGATGTCAGACCTGGTCCTAGCACAGCTCTCCTGCAGGACCGTCGTGGGGCCTATAGCAACACTCAACCTCCTTTAAGTTTCTGTTGTGTCTTATTGTCAATTGGAGTGGTTGTCTGAGCCCTCCCCGGTGGCTAACAGGATGCTGTGAGGACCCAATGTGGGTCTTGAACTTCAGTGTGCACCAGAATCACCTGGAGGGCTTATTAAAATACCGGCGGTCTGGGGCACCTGGGTGGCTCAGTCGATTAAGCGTCCGACTTCGGCTCAGGTCATGATCTCATGTTCGTGGGTTCGAGCCCCGCATCGGGCTCTGTGCTGACTGCCAGCTCAGAGCCTGGAGCCTGTTTCAGAGTCTGTGACTCCCTCTCTGACCCTCCCCTGCTCACGCTGTCTCTATCTCTCTCTCAAAAATAAATAAAACATTAAAAAATAAAATACCGGCGGTCTGGAGCCACACACAGAATTTTGTTTTTTCTTTAAACGTTTTATTTATTTCTGAGAGAAACAGTGTGAGCCGGGGACGGTCAGAGAGAGAGGGAGACACAGAATCTGAAACAGCCTCTAGGCTCTGAGCTGCCAGCACAGAGCCCGACGCGGGGCTCGAACCCATGAACTGTGAGATCATGACCCGAGCCGAAGTCGGACGCGTAACCGACTGAGCCACCCAGGTACCCCCCGCCCCCACCCCCACCCCCGCACAGAATTTTTGATCCGGTAGATTTGGGGTGGCGTCAGGGAATTTGCGTTTGTAACAACGTCCCAGAAGGTGCAGATGCAAGAATCACTGATGAAAAGAGATGAAGGACAGGAGGCGCTGGTAGCCTTAATTTCCAGGTGACCAGCTCCGAAGGCCACGCAGGACGTTCCGAGGGGAGCGGAAGGAACAGAACGGATCCATCCGCCCCTCACTCTCGCCAACACCTATTTAGGAAGCGGCGGTGCAGCGCCAGGCACTGGTAGGGTAGGGGCAGCGGCGCGCCACAGGCCGGCCCGAAGCGGCGGTGGACCCACACCCCGTGGTTCCGAGCTCGCAGCATGAATAGCGGGCAGCTGCCGCTCCGGCGTCCGCACGGGGCAGGAAGTCCCCCGAGCCGCCGGGGAGGGCCACCACTGGGCGCCGCACGCACCGCGCGGACGCCGCTCAGAGGCTCCGGGAACTCGCCGTCCCTCCCCACGCGGCCGGGACTCCGGCGCGCGCCCGGCACTCCGTAGGCGCGCGCCCGGCACTCCGTAGGCGCGCGCCCGGCACACAGTAGGCGCGCGCCCGGCACACAGTAGGCGCGCGCCCGGCACACAGTAGGCGCGCGCCCGGCACACAGTAGGCGCGCGCCCGGCACACAGTAGGCGCGCGGCCCCGCCCCCGGCGCGCCCCGGGCACACAGTAGGCGAGCGGGCGGCGGGCGGAAGGGGGCGCTGGCGCGCGGTATCCGGGGGCGGAGCCGGGGCGGCCGGCCAGGCGGACGAGCGCGGGCAGCGGGGCCGCGATGGGCGAGGGCGGGCTGCCCCCGGCCTTCCAGCTGCTGCTGCGCGCCTGCGACCAGGGCGACACGGAGACCGCGCGGCGGCTGCTGGAGCCGGGGGCGGCGGAACCGGCGGAGCGCGGCGCGGAGCCCGAAGCGGGCGCGGAGCCGGCGGGGGCCGAGGCGGCCGGGCCCGGGGCGGCGGCGGCGGCGGCGGCGGCGGCCGCCGCGCCCGTGCCTGTGGACTGCTCGGACGAGGCGGGCAACACGGCGCTGCAGTTCGCCGCGGCCGGGGGCCACGAGCCGCTGGTGCGCTTCTTGTTGCGCCGCGGCGCCTCGGTCAACAGCCGCAACCACTACGGCTGGAGCGCGCTCATGCAGGCAGCCAGGTGAGGGGCCGGGGGCTGGGGGTGGTGGGCCGCCGTCCCCGGGGCGAGGAGGGCTCAGGTGGCCGGCGCTGCCGGGCGCCCTCCGCAGACGCCCCGGGAGGCAAAGAGTCAAGGACTCGTTCCGGAGAGCCGGCATGGTAAACTTTGAGCAGCTTGGGATACTACGAGAAGTGGAAGTGCTTTTTAGTAATAAAATCAGAATCTTAGAAAGAGTGGGTCTTTTGAAACAGAATCTGAAGACTGCGTCGAATGGAATCTTAAGAGATCCATCATCTTAGAGGTGGTTATTCATTCCTCCTTTCAACATGGGTTCCTACGACCCTACCTCCCCACCTAGCCTGAAGATGGGACACTGCGGGAGCCAAGGCACAGCCCCACGGGGAGCAGCTCACGCACCAGTGGGCAGGCCAGGCAGGACATCAGGCTTGACGGGGAAAGTGCAGGGAGCTCTGGGGATGGCAGACCCCGTTTGGGGAAGTGGAGAAAGGTTTTTGGTAAGAATGATGTACAGATTCATGTCGAGACTCTGTAAGAATGAACCAGGACAGAAGAAGTGGCCATGGGGTGATAGGCTCACGCAAACGTTTCGAAGCACGAGTGAACATAAGGCGTTGGTAGGACTGCTAGACTGATGTCAGTACCAGGAAGGGGCTCCAAGTAGTGGGAGATGATGCTTCCCTGGAGAGAAGGGGCAGATGCCATGTGGCAGGGCTGAGAGGGATGAGCTCTCCTAAGAGCACTGGGGAGTGATAGAAGGTTCTAGGCAGAGTGAGTGACAATCAGATGTATGTTTTGGAAAGATCGCTTTCAGTGCAGTGTGAGGACAGATTGGAGGGACGGGCTAACGTCAGAAAGCCTAGTTAGCGGGGGATTGCAGCGGCTCGGGAGAGGTGATGGTGGCCTGGACCAGAGCCGAGACAGCAGTGGGAGAACAAAGAGATGTTTGAGCTGTACTCAGGAAGCAGGGTGAACAGGCCCTGAAAGCCTGGTGGGAAGGAACTCAGGTGTACAGTAAAGTCACTCACCCCTGTTGGCCATCTACTTCGGTCCCACCCACCCCTTAGTTTGGTCTCTGATGGATGTTTTAGTATCAGAAATGGTCACATTCGTGTTTTTTCCTGTTCTGAAAACGATAGCCTTTATTGAGCCCTTTTTGTGTCGAGCACTGTGTTCAGTGCTTTAAATGAAGTAACTCATTCAATCCACACAAAACCTTAGGAAGTATGGCTAGTGTCATCCCATTTTACAGATGAGGAATTGAGGCTCAGAGGTAGGTAACTTGCCCAGGACCACGCAGCTAGTAAGTGGCAGAGTCACATGCACATGCAGGCAGGTGGCCCCAACGCCTGTGCTCCCCAGCCTCTGCTCTCAACACATCTGTGCCTGTTCCTTTTTAGTGTTGACCACAGGGAAGCTACTCCCCAAATTGGCCAAATGCTAAAGACATAGGTTACGTGGTGTTTACTTTGGCCCTAACATCACCCTTGGCTTCTTTACTTCTGCCCTTCGTTTCTCTGCCCGCCAATATGGCAGAGGTGGCCCCTCTGTTCAGTGCTTTGGGTGGTGGGAGTTTGTACCAGGTCTTTAAACACAGGTGTGAATTGCCAAAATTAATTGGTAATCACAGCAGCTGTTCAGAAAGTCCCACGCTTCCCTATCCTCAGTAATTACCTGGTAGAATCTTAGCATCCACAAAATGATCTCAGCCTTCCTTGAAGTCTTTTATGTTTTCAGCCTAATTGAATGACCGTTTAGGCTACCCATGGATTCAGAAAGCATTCCAAATGTCAGCATTTCTGTCCAAATTCATCCCTTTTCTTTCTCTCTGAAAATTTGTTATACCAGAAGAGCTGGGGTTTGGGGATTTTAGAGTCTGGGTTCAAGTTTTGATTCTGTCACTTTCAAATCAAGAGGCCCTGAATTTACTGCTTTCCATTCAAATCTTCAGTTTCCTCACTTATGAAATGGACATTATCAGTTTATTTTAGGTTTTTTAAAGATCAAATCAGGGGCATTTGGGTGGCTCAGTCGGTTAAGCCTCTGACTCTTGATTTTGGCTCAGGTCCTGATCTCATGGTTAATGAGGTTGAGCCCTGCACAGGTCTCCGTGTCAAGCCTGTGGAGCCTGCTTGGGATTCTCTCTCTCCTCTCTGTGCTTATCCCCCAGTCATGCACACCTCCTCTCTCTCAAAGTAAATAAATAAACATGTTTTAAAAATCCAGTGAGAGGAAGGGGCACCTGGGTGGCTCTGTTGGTTAAATGCCTGACTTCAGCTCAGGTCTTGATCTTGCAGTTCATGGGTTCAAGCCCCATGTTGGGCTCTGTGTTGACAGCTCAGAGCCTGGAGCCTACTTCAGATTCTGTATCTCCCTCTCTCTCTGCCCCTCCCCTGCTCACACTCTGTCTCTCTCTCTCTCTCAAAAATAAACATTAAAAAAAAAGATGTCAAAGGGGCGCCTGGGTGGCTTAGTCGGTTGAGCGTCCAACTTTCGCTTAGGTCGTGATCTCGCGGTTCGCGGGTTCGAGCCCCGCGTCGGGCTCTGTGCTGACTGCCAGCTCAGAGCCTGGAGCCTGTTTCAGTCAGTGACTCCCTCTCTCTCTGACCCTCCCCTGCTCGCGCTGTCTCTCTCTCTCTCTCTCCTAGAAATAAATTAAAAAAAAAACATTTAAAAAAAAAAAAGATGTCAAAAATCCAATGAGGTGTGCTTGGGTGGCTCAGTTGGTTGAGCTTCCAGTTCTTGACTTCGGCTCAGGTCATGGGACTAAGCCCCACGTCAGGTTCCTCACTGAGTGTGGAGCCTGCTTGAGATTCTAACTCTCTGTCCCTTGCATTCTCCTCTCTTTGTCTCTATAAAATAAAAAGATCAAATGAGACAAAAGTGACAATACCTTTTAATCTGCTGTTAGGAATTGTGCCAGATTTTATCTTACACTTCATAATGAAATAGTGTAATTTTTAAAAATTCTTTACCTCAGAGGAGGATGCAGGAGTTCTTTAGTTATTCCCATTGTCTGTCTCTAGACCATCCTCCACGTGGTTATGCCCGTCCTTCATTTAGACACTTAATCGTTTCCAGCAGTTACTGAGTGCCACTGTAGGTCAGCCACCAGTCCTGTCTGTCCTTGGGGAGCGCACGGTCTTACAGGAAGACACGATTGTAGGAGGGAGGCTCAGGTGCGCAGATGAAGGGTACCTGAACTGAGGGGCAGGGGGGCTGGAAGCTGCTCAGAGGTGAACTCTGAGCCAAGTCCCGAAGCAGGATGAAGGGTGTGCTCAGGATATAGGGACAGGAGAGGACTCTGGTCAGAGAGGCGGCATGGCAGAGGTGTGGGAGGAGTATAATCGGGGCTGGCGTGAGGGTTGGGCGGAAATGAAGCCGACCAAGTCGGCAGGCCTTCCTCCGGCAGCGGGAAGCTGGGGAGTGGCCATCAGGTTTAGGTTTGGGCAGCACCATCACGCAGGATGGTCAGGAAGGGACTGGAGGCAGGAAGATAGGTTGGGGTAGCTGCTTTCTGCACTGGAGTTTATGTCCATTTGATTTTGCTCCCTCTCTGCTCTTGGAGAAGAGGAGGGACAGGCCCAGTTCACCAAGCTCTCCCTCCAGAGGCTGAGCTGACCCGGTACCGTTAAGGTTCATGTCCCTGAAGGTATTTGTAAGTCCAGATTAGAGTTTGGCCTTGGCTTTGCCTCCACAGGGAGAAGGGAGGCCCTGGATTTATAGGAGGTTTAAAAACACACACACACCTCACTTCCGGAAAGGAGTTCGGGAATGCAACGAGAGATTCAAAACACTGCCTCACAGATGTAGACATTATGCAGGCATTATGGTCTGGAACCGCTGGCCCGTCTCTTGTCATTCTTTCCCAGTTAGTCCAGGGTTCCTTCCAGCTCTGACACACACTGCTCTGAGCCCAGTGTGCCAACCCAAACCCTGCAAAACAGGTCTTTTCTGCCCCCTGGTGGCAAAAGAAGGAAGAGATTTTTTGCTGGGAAGAGGCCTCTGTTTTCTTCTTCCTGGTATGGAGTTGGAGGTCGCTTGTTTATGTCTCCCGGCCAGCTCAATCTTCGCGGAGGAAGGTCTGGCCCAGGCCCTGTTCTTAGCCACTGGCAGCGGACATTCCTGCCAGCAGGTGGCAGCAGGTCTCTGGTAAGAGGAGCCCGAGCCCCTCTCTGCTGACCACAGCCATGCCACACCTCTTGGCATGGGGTGCACTGGCTCATCTTGAAGGACCTTCTGTGTGCGTTTGGGGATGCGTAGACATGAGTCAGACAGGAGTCCTGCCCATGGGAGTCAGCACAGGCAGAGAGATAGATTACAAGGCTGTATAAGACAGAATAAAATGAACTCTGAGATGTGGGATGTAGTATGGTGTAGGGGAAAGAGTGACGGCATCGGGATTCAGACGGACCTGGGTTCTGACCCTGACACCACCTCTTGCCAGCTGCGTGACTTTGGTACTTTGTGCAACGTGTAAGGTAAAATGATTATTGTATCTAACGTTTATGAGACACTTCGTTTGGCCAAACTCTGTTTTAAGTGCTGTATATATTACATATATGTGTAGTAACTCATTTAATTCTCAGCAGCCCTTGAAGTAGATACAATTATATCCTGATTTTACAGATAAGGCAATGCAGGCATGAAGAAGCTAAAGTTCTTTCCCAAGATCATACAGCTAGTGATTGGCAGAGCTGGATTCGAACCTAGACAGGGCAGTTGCTTACCTTTGTGTTGGTGGATATGCAGGGCCGGTACAGTGCCTAGCGCCAGAAGGCCTTTTATTATATATAACCACTATGATTTTAATAATTAATGACAAAGGAGGGTTATGTATGCTGTTTCATCAGTGTCCTATGTTAGCGTCACTAATTGTCCATCTTCCTGGCAGATTTGGGCATGCGAGCGTGGCACACCTCCTTTTGGATCACGGGGCTGATGTCAATGCCCAGAACCGACTAGGGGTCAGCGTGCTCACTGTGGCCTCTCGGGGTGGCCACCTGGGGGTGGTGAAGCTGCTTCTGGAAGCCGGTGCCTTCGTGGACCATCGCAGCTCCTCAGGCGAGCAGTCAGGAGACAGCAGGGATGAGCCGTTGGACATCACAGCCCTGATGGCTGCCATCCAGCATGGGCATGAGGCCGTGGTGCGTCTGCTGATGGAGTGGGGTGCAGACCCCAACCACGTGGCCCGAACCGTGGGCTGGAGCCCGCTGATGCTGTCGGCACTCATCGGGAGGCTCGGCGTGGCTCAGCAGCTGGTGGAGAAGGGGGCCAACCCGGACTACCTCGGCGTGCTGGAGAAGACCGCCTTCGAGGTTGCACTCGACTGCAAGCACAGGGACCTTGCAGACTACCTGGACCCACTGACCACTGTCAGGCCCAAGACAGGTCAGGCCATGCCACCATCAGTTTGCTTCCCTTCCTTGTCGTGGCTTCACAGGGACCCTAAATGACAAAAGCTGAGGACCGCCCAACCTGAGGGCGTGTGCAAATCGGAAGTTTAGCCTGTAGAGCAGTGGGTCTTAAGATGTGCTGTGCGTAAGAACCAGTTGGGAGTGCCTATTACTTGCAGGTTGCTGGCTCACCCTCCAGAGAGTGACTTGGTATCTCTGGGAAGAGCCAGGAACCCCCGTGGCAAGGCCCCTCCTTTCTAATCAGATGATTCTGATGTGTAATGTTCTGGGATCTTTCTAGGACAGGGTTCAGCAGACTCCCTGTAAAGGACGAGATAGAAAACATTTTAGACTATGGGCCAGTCTCTGTCAGAACCACTCAATTCTGCTAGAGTGAAAGCAGCCAGACATTATATGTCAATGAGTGGGTATGGCTATGTATCAATAAAACTGTAATTACCCAAACAGGCTGCAGAGCGGATTTGGCCCAGGACCCCTGCTCTAGAACAATGGGCCCTCTGCCTTTGAGGACCTTGGCCTCTGTAGGGAAGACAGAGGAGAAACGGGATATAAACCTATTGGGAATAATAACTTACATGGTAGGTAGGTGGTAGGTACCGTGGCGGGGAAGGAAAGTGGGCGGGGTTGAGGTTTGGGGTGTGGGGGCGATGCCTCGAGGCTGGGCGGCCTCCTGGAGCTTGGAGCTTGTAGCCTCCTTGTAGCTGACCTGCGAGAGCTGAGGGAGTGCTCCACACCGGCTCTCAGGTAGCACAGCAGAAGGGAGAGGCTGTGTCAGCAAGGGTAGAGTATTCCGTCCATAACCATTGGTCCCCGGCTCTTTTTGTGAGGTGCTAGGAAATTCACCTCGAAGACCCCCAGCTCTCTCCCTTGCATTAGCTGCAGGATAGGGTGCTCTCGAGGCTGTAACGGTCATTGTGATATACCCCAACGTGATGGCTCCTTGGGCCGGGAAGGGTCCCCAGAACTGTGGTGCTATCAAGGCCAACACTGACATCCAGAATGAGGAACGGGCCAGGCCAGGGTCACCTGGCATCAATGCCACAACTGTCCCGGCCTCCTGGGGTCAGACTAGAGGGTCAGTCATTCTTTCGTACTAGATGGTTTCTCAGCAACCAACATGAAGGTCAGGCGACATACTTTTTTTTTTTGTCAAAGGGTCTTGGCATGAGAAGTCCCGGCCCATAGCAAATTAGATTCTTCAACACTTAAAAGAATGTGACCTATTTAAAACTAAGATGCAGAATCTTTTTTTTTTTTTTTTTTTTTTTTTTTTTTAAGTAGTCTTTACGCCCAGTGTGGAGCCTAACTCAGGTCTTGAACTCACAACCCTGAAATCAAGACCTGAGCTGAGATCGAGTCCAACACCTAGCCGACTGAGCCACCCTGGCTCAGAATCATTTCTTGATGGTATCGCACAGGCAAAATTAGACATTTAGTTCCGTGGCCCTGTCTGTCCTTCTCTGTAAGAACTCCGGAGTTAAGTACTACCCTTTCTGGGGTGGGTGCTAGTCACTGGTGAAGGTAACAAAAATTGCTCTTTGAATGAGACCTAAGGCTTTCTGAAGCACTCTCCCACCTATATTACTTATCCCTGCCACCACCACGTGGTACCCATATTAGCATGTTATCCCCCATTGTTGATGAGGAGACCAGTCATTCTGGAAAGACGTACTCAAATTCTGATACGCCAATTCCAGACTCAGTGGTCCCTGCACTGTGCTGCAGCTTCTTCCCAGCTGCCCGAGGGGCTGACCTGGACCGGAGATTTAGCCCAGAGTCACAGGTCCCCCTCACAGCCGCTCCATCCCTAGAGTCAGAGATTGCAGGAAGTCCTGCTTTTGGCCACCTGTGAGGGGCCTGGTTATGAGGATGTCTGCTTTCTGACAGCACGGTACTCAACAGCCCAAGCTTGGAGGAAGGGGACAGATGAGCAGACGAGGGAGGGGCAAGCATTGGTGGGTGCATCAAGGCCCAGGTTTGGGGGTAGGCATGGACTTGTGTGCCAGCCGAGGAGCTGGGCTGCAGGGGCCAGCACGGACACCTGCGGTGGGCAGTGGTCTGCAGGGAGCCATGGCTGCAAGTCTGGGGCAAGGTGACTCTCAGAATCCTTCAGATTCCTTCTTCTTGGGGAAGGAAAACAAAAGTTAACATTGGCTCTTCTGGTGGCTGTCTCTGCGATCTCCCTCTGGGCTCAGCTGCTCAGTATCTCAGGGATCTGCTTTGGAATTATCTCATGGTTGCACATTAGTTTTCAGGGGAAAAAAGTCACTTTCTTTTTAAATTTTCATAGGAATCCATATTTTTCCAAGACTATACTTTTCTACTACATCTAAGAGAGGATATCCCAGAGTTTGGAATGCTCCAAAATGATTGCTTATGAGTGAGGGATCAGGAAACATTCTGCTTATTCATGTTTTGTTGGCCAGATGACTGCCCGGAATCTATCTATGGAGCATTTGCAGACATTCTGTGATAGTAACTCTTCCAGAAGGGCTATTGGGTTCATCCGTTACATATGTCTCTTATCAGATTGCTTTTGGAAAGTAGATCATTTTTAAATGCTAGGCTATATTGTTACATGCTTGTGACTTTTCTACTCTACTAAACCTTTCGTGGTTAACTTTTAAAATCCTTATTTACCTAGATGAGGAGAAAAGGCGGCCTGATATTTTCCACGCATTGAAAATGGGTAAGTGTTTTTGAAAATCTTTTTAGACATTTATGAAGATAGGGACACAGTCTCCCAATCTAGCATCTGTAGTCATTCTTCAGGCCACCCAGAGTGTTTGTGAAAGAAAATAGGCATTTTGTTGTTTCCTGACTGTAGTTTCACACAGGGAGGGTTCAGCCCCTGGAGGCTGATAGTTCTGACGTTGCTTATACACTGGTTCCAGACCCCCACCCCTCTGGCCCAACCCTGTGGCAATGCTCTGGCTTTTCCTTACTTCTGAAATGCTTACTACCGACATAGGCAGTGGCCTACCTACTCTCTACTTTATTTGTGATGAAGGGCTAGTTAGCCCTAAGATCTCTTCTCCTGATATAGACCCCACCTCTAGGAAGCCCTCCCTGATTCTCACCCCCCAGGGTGATCTGAGCCCTCTGTATGTGCATTGCCCTTCATGTTTCTTTCATCTGTTCTCTAATCTCAATAACACTTCTCTCTTTTAGCAAAGCTATTTGTGTGCTTGCCTCCATCCCTCCCAGCTTGGGGGATTTGAGCGTGGGGGCTACCTCTTTCTCGTCTTTGTAGCCTGTGTGACACCCAGCAGCCCAGTGCAGAGGCAGGTAGAGCACATGCTTGTTACATAAACCCTCCCCCCCACCCATAAGTAATCCAGCAGTGCCAGGCCCATGGATCACCAGGTCTCCTGCTTCTGTTTGCAGGAAACTTCCAGCTGGTCAAAGAGATCGCAGATGAAGACCCCAACTACGTGAACCTGGTCAACGGGGATGGGGCAACCCCACTGATGCTGGCGGCCGTCACGGGGCAACTGCCTCTGGTGCAGCTGCTGGTGGAGAGGCGCGCCGACATCGACAAGCAGGATAGTGTGCATGGCTGGACGGCCCTCATGCAGGCCACCTACCACGGGTCAGTGCCCGCGCCACTCCTGCAGCAGAGTGCAGTACACATAAACTCAGAGCTGTGAAGAGCTTGAGGCACACACACAAAATTAAAGAAGCGCAGGCTTGTTCTATCCTGCATCCCTGCCTTCTGTGCCTTGATTCCTATTACCTCATCACAGAATCCACCAGGGGCCGTAAAAACCACACAGCAGGAACGTTTTCTGCAGGCAGATGATTTTCCGTAGGTTGATTTCAGTTGAACAGTCTGGAGTTTTCTCATTGAAGCCCTTAAGTCACCCCTATTGGAAATGAACAATGGCTGTTCATACTACTGGCTCCTGGGCAACCCGTGCTGACACTTGGCCTAACCCTCTCCATTTGAATAGGCACCGGCGTTGACTGGTGCTTCTGAGTCCTTTCTTGTCCTGTCCTGGAGGCCACCTCTTTCGGGTAGGCTGACCCAAGGGCTGGGAGCTGCAGACAGTCTTACAGCGGCTAAGTGATCTGATTCCAAATTATGGGCCCTTTCCTTGCCCTGTCTCAGGTGATCACAGCACTTTGCTGCGTCATCCTCAAGCAGTTTTTGCCTTATTTGGTGAGCCTCGGACATCTACTTCAGACACCTCGGCCTGCGTGAGGCTTCTGCAGTGCAGGGGTCCCGATTTGGGGCAGGAGGAGTTTGGGACCTGCTTGTGGGTGGTGGCCACGTGGTTTTTCTTTTGTTTGTGGATGGAGCACATGAGCTATGGCTGCCATCACATTCAGGGCTACTTCCCACCGGGTAGGGCACAGAGAGTGTGAGACAGTTTGCAGCTCTTCATGTCCTTCTTTCAGCCTCAAAAGGGGGCACTGATATCGTCAGCTTCTTAACCCAAGAGCAAAGCCAGGCTTTTGCTCTCAGTGCGTCTAACTCAGGATTTTTCTTTCTTCCCCAGGAATAAGGAAATTGTCAAATATCTGCTAAACCAAGGAGCAGATGTCACTCTTCGTGCAAAAAACGGGTACACGGCTTTCGACCTAGTGATGCTGCTGAGCGACCCTGGTGGGTTTTTTCAGGAAAGGGGTCGAAAACCCTCATGGCCTTTCATGAGGAATGGCCTTTCACTGTCTGGGAATCAGGATAATCGCCTTTGTGTCCAGCCCTTGCTTACTCCCCCAGGAGGTCACCCTCAAGCCCCGAGGGCTCACCACATGTCCTCAGGCGGGTCCTTCCCCTCCCCCGCAAAGGCTGGGCTGGCACCAGGTAGTCCCCTACGCTTCTCTGGCGCCAGCCTTTGGGAGTCTCCGAGGAGGAAGGCCGGTGAGACAGGAGTCTGCCTTAGCAGGCCACACGTGTTCCAGAATGGTATCTGGGCTTCGCGACCAGAAGCCCTGCCCTGGGAGGAAACAGAAAGGCCCCTTCGACAGGCAGAATCGGAGGTGGAGCAGCGACTTCCTCTGCTCAGTCGTGTAGGTGGGGGCTGCTGGATCAAGGGCACCATGCTCAGGGTGTTACTGTCTCTGGTCCCACCTCTCTTGGGCCCCGCTGGCATCTGCTGCTCCTCTTGGACCCTCCCTCACTATGACAGGGCCCCCTCTGGGACCTGAGGCATCCAATTAGGCAGCTCAAGGATCAGAGTCTGTCTGTCTGTCCATCCTTTCTCCTGTTGCCCTGGAGTTTGAGCCCAGGGAGGGGAGAGGCTAGTAGGCCCTTCTGACCCACAGGCTTTGAGCCCTGAGCCAGATCCCAACCTGCTGGCCCTGGGAGAGGACTTGACCTCTGCGGTCCCAAGTGGACTTAGTCCTGCTGCCTCTCTTGGCTACAGGGTGATGGCCAGAGAGCCCTCCTGCACCGCCAGCATCGCCCCCTCTCCCACCGCTGCCTGCCCTGCCTGTCTCAGATGTACACCCGGCTCCCTGTCATCCTCGCAGGGTGCGTGAGGGGAAGCAGAGCTGCGTATCCCCTCGTGGAGGGGAGGTGACTGGGGCCGGGGGAAATGGCTTGTCCCCGGCCAATGAAGTGGGGTCCTCCGCCAAGTCCAATGAGCTCACTCCACCTGGCTGGAGGCCCTCCTGGTGTACCAAGAGTTTGTGTCATTAGAACCCCTGGATCACGCACACTTTTCTCAGACAAACCTGTGTCTCGCTGTGTCTCCTCTCCCTCGCCCCCTCCGACCACTTCCCCCTCCCTTGCCCAGTAAGGCAGTCTCTCCCTAGTTGATTTTTTTTCCGAATGGGTTTTTTTAAATGAAGTTTTTGCCTGAAATTTTTTAAGAAACACATGTATATTATTGAACACTTGGAGAGGGAAAAAACAGTTATCAAGAGAAAAGCACTGTTAATAGTTTGTAAGGTATTCTTCTCAATCTCTGTTGTTGTTTTGATAACCCAGTTATTAACTACTAATAACGCCTCCCCTTTCTTAAGCACTTCCCTTAAGCTAGAAACTCCCTCGACTCCTCCAGACACCTTCATGTGGTGCATACTGTCACCCCTTTTACAGAGACACAGAGAGGTTCTCTAGCTTACCTGCAGTTGCACGGCCAGGGAGGGACAGAGGTGGAATTTAACTCCCTGCCGCCTGGCTGCAGAGACCGTGAGATCATGACTTGAGCCGAAGTCGGATGCTTCACCGACTGAACCACCCAGGCGCCCCAAGCTTGTGCTTTTAAAACACGCTTCTCCCACTGTCTGTCTGTGGGGAGAGGGCTCCTGGTTTTCCTTTCTGGTCAAGTGGATGAAGCCTTGCTGGCCTGTTTGCCACCTTTTGAAGACCAGACGGAGAGACCAGTGCCTCGATCCTGGAGTAACATAGACGCTGGAGCTTCACAGCTGAGTTCTAAGGCTGATGGGTCTTCTTGAGCCCTCTCTCCCTGGCCCAACAGACGAATTTGCAGGTAAAGTGCTGCCTTTTGTGCCCATAGACACGGAACTTGTTCGACTGCTGGCATCTGTCTGCATGCAGGTGAACAAAGACAAAGGCCGGCCCAGCCACCCACCACCTCTGCCTCACTCGAAGGTCCGACAGCCCTGGAGTGTCCCAGTGCTGCCCGATGACAAAGGCGGGCTCAAGGTTTGCCTTTTCCTGTCCTAGAGGGCTTTAAAGAGAGACAAGCTGACGGGGTGGGGGGTGCCTGCTGCTTCCTTTTAACGCAAGGCTGGTTTAGGGTGAGGGTGGCCCTGCAAGGGCAGGAACTAAGCCGTTGGTGAGCAGTAAGGAACAGTGAGTATCCGGGAAAACTGGGCTGATTCTATAACCTGCGGTGACCACTTTGCAGGAATGTGGGTTCGTGTTGTCAGATTGTCCCATGTTTTCCCAGAGACGCTGGAACGCTAGATGTGGAAACTCAGCTAACAGCTGTCGGGAGTTGGAGAATTTTGCATGATGTGGTACTGAGCTGGCCGAGCCAGATGCCTCTCCTCCCAGGCCGTCTGTCTGCGGCCTCTGCTTCAGCATGTGGGACATGCTGGGGTCTCCCTGCGGCCCACAGGCCTCCAGTTGGGGCTCTGTGGAAATACCCTAACATCCTCCAGTTGCTCATTTCTAACTGCGAGCCAAGTGTTTTTCTTTGAATTTCTCGTCCTCCCCATCCTGGCTACTTGGTTGAAATCACTTACCTTTCCTGCATCCTCTGTGGGGCTCTGGGGCTCTGATGCCTCCTCAAATCTGCACTCAGCTCCTGCTCTCTGCTCACTAGAGCCCAGGGTGTCCTCTCAGTGTTGTTTGTATAGGTCCCTTCAGCCCTGTGCTCGCCGCTGTCTCCCTCAGCCAGGCCTTCACAGCCTCCCTCCCCGCCGTGCCATAACCCCCGAACTGTCACGGGGTTAGGGGCACCCTGGGGAGTAGCACTGGGCCTCTCTGCAGGTGGAGAGGTGTCAGCTGCCAGAGCAGATGGCCCGGGCCTGGGTGTGGACGACACCTCTCACGTTGTCACTGGAACAGGGGGAGAGCTTACGCAGTGACTGATGCTATGGTGTTTGACGTTGCCTCCTGTCCATCTGTCTGTCTCTGACTCACTGTGAGACTCTGCGCACGTTGGCACCCCATCTGGACCTCCATTTCTCAATCTGTGCAATGCAGAGACTGACTGGATGAGGGGTGGCAAATAGGGTCCGCCGTCAGAGGTCAGAGCCCCGAAGGGCTGAGTCAGAAAGGCTTCAGACAGAACCACGGTTTTGTGGGACGGGTTCCTGTGACCGATTGGGAATACGTGTCACGGGCGCAGGGGAGCAGAGGGGAAGCACGTGTAAAGTGTGTCACTGTCCCTGGGCTGGCTGTTCGTGGAGTGTGACCTCTGCTCTGCGTTCCCTTGGCAGTCCTGGTGGAGCCGAATGTCCAATCGGTTCCGGAAGCTCAAACTGATGCAGACCCTGCCCCGCGGGCTCTCCAGCAACCAGCCGTTGCCTTTCTGTGATGAACCAGAGCCAGCGCTGGACTCCACCATGAGGGCGGCCCCCCAGGACAAGACAGGCCGCTTGGGGCTTTGTGACGTGGCCCCCACAGTGAAAGAGAATGGTGAGAAAAAACTGCATGTGCTGTAGAATTTCCAGAATGGTCAAACCCAAATTCTCTGCTCTTTGTCCTACCTCTTGGGCTGATGTCAGAGGTGAGATGATACTGGAACGTGTTCCTGGAACAAAGCAGCTGGTCTGGGGAAGAAGAGACGGGCAGGGACACAATTGCAGTCAGCATGGTAGATGGGGACATCAGTGCCAAGGGTCCCCAGTTTCTGTCCCTCACACCCTGCTCACGGATCTGAGGCCAGCCACTGCCTCTCTCTTGCCTTTGATAGGTGATCTTCCCACCTATCACGCGTGATTGATTTTTGGCACTGGAAGTGTTTAGAAATAGAATGAGTTACCTAGGGGTGGGGAGTTAGATTCCCACCACTGGAGGTATTCAACAGATTGGACGACTTTGCCAGGGCACTGAAGGAGATTCCCACACTGATTGGGCAGTTGATTAGATCACACCCCTTCGAACAGACTCCCCACACCCAGCCTAGCTCCTTCGGCACCTCCATTTGAGACAGACTATTGAGCTGGGTGCCCCACTGTCTGACCCAGCACAGCAGTGGCTTATGGAAAGGCTGAAAACACGTTCTGAGATACCTTTGAGATGCTTTCCCTCTATTCAGATATTGAATACCAATTATTATTAAATACTTAATCGCTCAGGAGAATTGGTTTTCCAGGTTGAAGGCCGACCTGGTTACTCATCCTCATGCCACGAACTTGTTGGGGGGGGCTCATTTCAGGAAACTTCCATTTGTCTCTCAGGTCCCGGGAACACGAGAGGAGACAAAGAAGATGTGTTATTGACAACCATGGTGAGTATGGGGCTGTTCTAAAAGCTTTTCAGGCCTCTGCCTGTCATTAGTTGATTGATTCACAAGGCTGGATGTGGACATGTGTCTTTCTTTGTGGTGGTCACAGATGGGGTTGATAGCGAAATGTGTGACACACCTCTGGCACTGAGGAATTGGAACCAACGCCAGCCCTAAACTGTGGGTAAGGCTGTGCTGGGGCTTAGTGGCCAGATGTCAGCCCTGACTGCATTCACAAGGAGGCGGCACTGAGGCCAGGCCTTGCAGGGTAGGAATTGATGGCTGACAGTGAGCTCACCGTTTTGGTTGTGGGGACTCGGGGAGAGGAGTCCCAGAGGAGGCTGTGTTTCCAGCCCAGCCTGAGAGTCCTCTGTCTCCTCATCTGTGAATTAGAGATGCATCAGGAATAGGTTCAGCTGTGAGTAACAAAAAGTCCTCCAATAACTGGCACAAATGAGACAGCAGCTTATTTTTCTCAAGTGCGGGTCAGGACTAGCATGTTGACCCATGGTGTCCTTCTACCTGTTGGTCTCCCGGGCTTGCCTTCTATTATGAGATGGCCACCAGAGCTGTGGCCGTTACTGCCTCCTTCCAGCCAGCAAGAAAGATGAGGGGAGGAAAAAGTGGCCAGGGGCACACACCAGGTATCTTTAAAGAAGTTTCCTGGGAACTCACACATCACTTCTGCTTATATCAGATCGGCCAGCATTTAGTCACATCACACTGCATGCACGGAGGCTGGAAAGGACGCCTCTGTTCCAGGCGGTTGTGTCCCCTCTAAATGCCAGGGGTGTCTACTAAAGAAGATGTGGAAGACGGACCCTGGGGCACCTCTAGCAGTGTCTGACTTAAAGGATGCTATCCTTCATGGCTGCTTCCTTGAATGAGGTTATCCCCAGGAAGTGCTTAGTATCGTGTCTGGCCCAGAATGAGCTCCTGGTTATCTGCTGTATGACCTTGGACATGTGACTTCACCTCTCTGGGCTGCATGCGTTCCTCTTTGAAATGAGGGTTGGGGTTGAACTGAAGTCCCTTGAGCTCTAAGACCCTACTCTGGAGGCTGGCCAGGAGAGGGCGGTATTGGAGAGGAGAAGGGAGCCAAGCATCCTCAGGAGGGGCGGAGCCGGCTGAGTCCTGACTGGGAGCTCTCTGAGCCCCATCCCGCCCTGCTATGCGGTAGGTGTAAAAGGTGTAAATTGGTGTCTCTAGACCGGATAGCTGAGGTGGGAGCTTGTACTGCCTGACATTTGATAATCTCATTAAAGAGCAGTAATTACTTTTGTATGAAGACCAGGGCTATTATTGAAATTTTGGAAGATGCAGTGAAATATAAATAAGCAAAATAAAATCCCCCTTGATGACACATATAATGACTGACGTTTTGGGGTAGATAAGTTTTGGGTATTTTTCTAACCGGTATTTAGCATTATGAATATATCATGTCCTGCATAATAATAATAATAATAATACTACAGCACTTACTAAGTGTCAGCCGCTCCTCGGAGCACTTTGCATATATTCATTCATTTAGTCCGTGGCCAGCCCTGCGAGGTGGGCACTCTTCTCTTCCCCGTACTGTGCTGAGCCTGATTTATTAACAGTTTGTCTGACCGTCTGTTCCATGCCATTAAATGCTCTTTAGCCACATCACATCTGATGGCTGCCTGATGCAACATTCCGTCCTGGGAATGTGCCTCACTGACCAGTGAAGGCTTACCCTTGGACTTTGGGGGTTTTATTTTTTTGTTGTTGTCACAGATCTGATGAATATCCTTATGCCTCGATTTCTCCCACTTGCCTGTTTCTTTGGGCTAAATGTCTAGAAATAGAATCTCTGGGTCAATGGGTGCGAATGTCATTGCCTTCCAGAAAGTTTGCAACAATTTAGACTCTGTCCCCAAGGAGTGAAAACGTCCGTCTGTGGTGGGTTTGCAGCTGCGGGCGTCCTTAGTCCTCTTCCAGTCCCACCCCCGCTGCCGGATGAGGTTGCTGAGGTCCAAGGGGACAGCACTGTTCACAGGTTCTCAGAAAAGCTCAGGACAGCCAGGGTGGGAGCCAAGATGCCTCCCCTCCTGCGTTGGCCCTTCCCTGGCCACCTCCTCCTGCCCCTCGGCAGATGGAGGACGGCCAGGGAGCCCTGCCGAGTGGGCGTTTGCAGCCATCCTTGCGGAGACACGCGGCTGCCCGGCTCCCGAGGCAGGTTTAGCTGTGGGATGCCCTTCCCTGCAAAGCACCATCTGGCACCAAGGCCACTGTCTTTTCTTAATTAAAGTTAGTGCGGACTGTGTGAATGCTTTTCCTTGACAGTCCACCAGTCATCATTGTGTGGATTCTATACTAGCCCTAAATCACATTTTCAAAATATAAAATTACAGTTAAAAATGTCAGCAGTGGGAGGTGTGGCTGGACGAGGGAGGGTGCGGTGGAGTGGGGAAGAGCGTGTTTGCTGGGCTCACAGAGAGCCAGCCCGGGCCTCCCGGTGCCCTGCGCCCTGGCCCTTCCTCCGGAGACGCCCAGCCCCGCGCACACACGTCCTGCTCCTCTGGCTGCCGGACCCGCCTGCGTTCTTTCCGCTGGGCCTGCAGTGCCCTCTTCCCCATCCCCCCGGTGCCGCCATCACAGCACACCCGGCGCCCCTTCGCCTCGCCTCGCTCCCCATCCCCTCTGTCTCCCATCTGGCTGCAGCCATGGCCCCAAGAGAAGCTGGGGGGTGGGGAGAGTAAATGCGGGTATTGCTTGGTTGCTGGTAGGAGCGCAGAGGTTACCACATGGTGTCTGGCCGGGCGTGGGGACGAGGGGGTAGATGGTGGTGCCATTCTGAGAAGCCTGGAGTCTTTCTTGAAGAGCTGGGAGCCCCCCACCCAGGGGAGGCTTGTCTAACCCACAGCCTGTCTTTTTCAGCTTCGAAATGGAGCCCCCTTCCCCAGACTCCCGAGTGACAAGCTGAAGGCAGTCATCCCCCCTTTCTTACCCCCTTCCAGTTTTGAGCTGTGGAGCTCGGATCGGTCCCGGACATGTCACAGCGGGAAGGCAGAGCCCGTGAAGACTGTGCTGCTCCAGAGAGCCGGCAGGGGTGCCCCCGCGGGCCTGGGCGGCGGGAGCACAGACACTGTGAGTGGCCCAGTGGACGTGCTTTGACACGTCACTCACACTGAAGTCGGGGTGTGCTGCAGGCAGAAGGGACCTCAGACCCGCTAATCCAGTGGGTTTCAAGCTTTTTTTTTAAATGAGGATGTCCTTTTGTGTCCCCTGCCCTACAAAGGGATTTCCTTTATAAACAGATTAAAACGTGGGGTGAAGGCAATGAAAGCAAGGGCCCCTCTTGTCTGTCTTTTCTCTGGAGCCCTGGAGCCCCAAGGAGCACAGCCTGAAGACCTGATCTAATCTAAGCTTCCCTTGAGTAGATGGGGAGACTGGGACCCAGGAGGGAACCACCCTACCACAGAGCACCCAGCCACGTGGCATGGGCCTGGGACCAGGTTCTTGGTTTCTAACCAACTTCCACATTACATCATCGCTCAGGGCCATGACCAAGAGCAAACACTGGGAGGCAAGTATGTGCACTATGGGTGTTTTCTTTCACCCACAAGGAGTGTGACTTCCAGCCTTTTGCCTACCGTGGCTTCTGACCTTGTGGCCCTTGCTGTGTCTCTGTAAAGTCCTGATGTCGTCCCTCTTGATGTGGGAGCTTACCCCCATTTGTGTAGACTGTCCACACCGTAGATGCAGCAAATGGCAAACCACAGATGAGGATTTAGGACCTCGCCCTGTCACTGTGTGCTGAGTGATCAGAAGGAGCCAGAGCCTCCATCTCTCTCTGTGAAACGGGGCTGACCTTGGCTTGCTGCTGCCTCATGGGGCTGTTGCAGTATCAGATCTCTAGCGGGAGAGTGAGAGCCCGGCCCCAAGGTGCTCCAAGTGGGCAGGGCTGGTTTGTCGTTAGTCTGCACCGTGTGGAGAGCTGTCAGATCCTGAAAGTGGGGTGATTCAGGGGGAACATCACAGGGGCTCAGCCTAAGCTTATGGTCTGCTTGCCTGCGGATGAAAATGAACACCCCTTCCTAGGGGGCTCCCCACAGGCTGAGCACCAGTTGGCACGGGCCGCATGGGCTGGGGTGAACCAGCGGAATCCACAGCCCTTTCCCTGCCATCGTGTGTGTCAGAGAAGGCAACAACAGACCCTAACCACGACACCCACTCTGTGCTTGCAGACTCCTGTCAGGCCGGTTAAATTTCCATCTCTCACCAGAAGCCCCACCTCTCCTGCCAATTCTGGAAACTTCAACCACTCACCTCATTCCTCAGGCGGCTCCAGTGGAGTCGGGGGCTCCAGCAGACATGGTGGGGAGCTGCATAATCGCTCAGGTGGGTGCCAGGCAGGGCCACTGGGGGGAGATGGCGGGAAGACCCCTTGGGGCTGTGGGTGTGAAGTGCCCTCCCCGCCCCAGCTTCCCCTGCACTTGCTCCATCGACAGCCCCAGAAACAACGGCACACACTGTGTCCCCTTCCTTGGGGCGGCTAAGGGACTTTCCAATGAATTCACAATTTTGCCCCCCAGAGCGGCACTGTTCAAACACGTGAAATGTTCCCAGCAGTACGTGGCACCTAGTTACTGCCTCACAAATGTTAGTTATCTGTGTTTTCCCACTCGGGTCCTCTCTAGCTCTCTAGACTGACCTGTTTCAAAATAATTTGAGATTGCTGGTGGATGTGGGGGAACTGGGAGAGGGAACGTGGCTATCAGCTCTGAGTGCTGGGGCTGAGCAAGTTATTGGCACAGCTGTGGAGGATGGGCCAGTGAAGCTCCGGCGGGGGGTCAGAGGGCAGGCGGGGAGCCCCGGGGGGGGGGGGCCGCTGGTTGGGCAGGCCAGGCCAACTGCTGGAAGGGGCGTGGGGGGCCGCGGGAGCCCGGCAGGGCGTCTGTGCCTGTCGGAGACCTCACAAGCCAGCTGTGGCAGGGGAAGGCGGGGACAGGCTGATGGCGCCCGCACTGCCCCTTCCAACACCTCCCACCATGGTGCCTTCGGAGTGTGATGACCACCGCGCCTGGCCACCTCCGGGTTCCACGGTCCGCCCTGAGCCACAGCCACAAGGGCTCTGGAGGAGCCTGGGGAACGCTTCCCCAGCTCAGCGAAGTCAGCCCACCAAGTCCGCTCTCCTCTCATTGCTGTGCCCTGGGCCCCTGAGGCAGCCATGTCTATTCCTCTCTCCTCAGGTGGCAGCATAGACAGTGTCCTGTCACAAATTGCTGCCCAGAGGAAGAAGGCAGCCGGACTATCCGAGCAGAAGCCCCGCCAGCGGTCAAGTCCTGTCGGGCCAGCGCCAGGGTCCGGCTCGTCCGAGCTCCCGGTGTCCCCTGCAGGCGGCGGCGGTCCCGGTGGCAAGGTGCTTGTTCTGTTTCTGTCTCCTGTTACACTCACATTCTGTCCTAACGTGGCCCACGTGCTGGGGAGCACAGGCAGTGCCACAGTCGTGGGACGGCCCTGAAGACCGGCCCCTTCAGCTGGCTGCTCCCGGGCTTCCTGAGAAGGGCTGGATCGTGCAGGAGGTTGCCGGGATCACACCCTGTGCCCTCGACCTCCTGTACACGTGCGTTTACCTCCCCCCTGACCTGCAGGGCACCTCCAGGTCCTCCTTCAGCCTCGCATGGCTCATTGCTTAGTGCGATGAGGTGTGCGGTGTGGGATCGGGAGCAGACTGCAGGGGGTCGGGTCTCAGCCCCAAACTTTAGCCTTTCGAGTGGGGCCCAGCACCTGGGGAGCCTGTACACGTCAGCTGTAGTACCTATGGTCCTGCCTTCCTCATTCACTGTGCACATCTTCAGGGCGTCTGCTTTGTGCCCAGCACTGCACCGGTGGTTTGGTGACACCTCTTAGGGTGTTGCTGCGGACCCAGGCAGTTTGACTCGCTGTGCTAGGGGCTGCCGTGGAGGAGGAGGATACTGTGGCTGCAAACGGGGGCTGCTACCCAAGCCTGAGGGCATCAGTGACACCCGGTGGGGATCTGAGGGATGGGAAGCGGGTGAAGGGGCGGGGCCGGGGTAGGGAGTGACACTGTACCAGGGTCAGGGAGTAGCCCGTGCGGCAATCCACAGGGGAAGAGCCGCAGTCCTGCTGGTGGACAGGACGGAGTTGGAGCCTCCCCTCTCTGCCCCGGCACCTTCCTCCACTCATGCAGCCCAAGAGCAGTCACCCCGTTGTCAATATCTCTATGAGTTTGCAAGGGACAGGGCCCTCAGTGTCTCTGCAGTGCGAAGTCTTCTGGTGTCCTTAGAATCCGCCCCTTCTAGCTCTGCAGCCCCTCCACCTGGACTGATTGCTGGAATGAGCCCCCCACCCCCACCGAGTATGGGTTCCTGACAGTATAAATTGGCCCCTCCTTCAGGTGCTCCCCCTCCATCGGTGCAGCGCAGCCCATCTCCTCCCCTGAGAGGACCCCATGGCCAGGGACTATCCCATTCTTCATATTTTTTAAATGGTTTGAGCTTTTTCCCTGAGAAAAGTTAGATCACCCAAAAGCCTCACCCCTGGGCCCTTGCCCAGAAGTGCCTCCGGAGACTGATATTTTAAAGGATGTATAAGCAACAGTCTTTATTTTTTGCCCACCACTGTCAGTTACGTAACTTTTTGTTATTCAAAGTCCCTCTTGCAATCAGACATACATAATTAGGTTCCTTTTACAGTATAGCTCCAGAAAAAGTTTCTCTCCCTGTGCGTTAGCATATTTTCCATTAAATCAAAAATTACTCGTGTGAAAGGATCTATGTAATTAAGTTCCTTTTAGAATTCAGCTCTAGAAAAAATGTTTATGCTGATACTTGAGTACATTTTCTTTCCTCAGATAATAAGACTTCTATAATTCTTACATTTCTCCTTTTCCCTTTGCTGCTAGGAAACTCAGAGCTACTAATTAAAGTAAGTCTTCTGGTCTGAGCTTTGATACAGTTTTCCTCTTCTCTGCTGTTTAAATTTTTCTATTTCTATTTTTGATGATCTTACTAGATGTGTTAGATATTATTAGCTTTCTTTAACTAGTGTTCAAAATAGGTAGGCATCTAAGTTTTAAGTTATATTAACTGTCCTCTCCCTTGGATGCACTTATTGTATATAATCTATGTACAGGTGTATTCCAATGAAAGGAGACTGTGTCAAAACACATTCAGGAAGCAAACTGGAGGAACAATCCAGTTCACTGGCACCTGATATTCTTAACAATATGCTGTAACCTTGGGGAGCTGTCTAAAAATTCAGGTTTCTGAATTTTCCAGCATAACTGGATGAGACTCTGCAAGACAGGATCTGAGAACTCTGATTTTCCCCTGAGAGAGTATTGTAACCAGCCCAGCCCAGGGCTCTTAGAAACCACTGCCCTAAATCACAGGCTACAAGGAGGGGGCATCTGTCAAAGGCTCCAGCAGCAAAATGGAGACATGGAATGTTTTTCAAAGACTCTCTGAGGAAGAATTAGAAACTAATACTCAAAATAGGAGCCTACTAAATCTGGTTTTCATATTTCGCTTAAAACAAGCCCCACCATAATGGTAGAATATTCACAAGGCATGGCTTCCAGCATGTTCACGAATCAGCCTGAAGCAACCTGAGGAGCCACAGAATTGGGGGAGTCAGAGTGTGTGTCAGTGCTTCCCAGACCTGTGGAAGCCCAAGTCCCACTGAGTATGTCAAACTCTCTAGTCTCGCCCTAAAGCTTAGTGGTTTAAAACAAAAAGCATTTCTTTAGCTCGTGAACTTGTGGGTTGGCAGTTTCCTCTGAACTTAGCTCTCCAGTCCTTCTGGTCTGGAGGGATCACTTACACATTTGGCTGTTGACCGGAGTGACCAGGATGACTGGGCCATGCATGTCCACAACAAGCTTAGATATATCCTCATGGCAGCAGCCGGAGGCATGAGTTGAAAGCCAGTCAGGTTGTTGAAGCAAGTCAGCATGCCCACCGCAGAAGAACAAACACACAGAATTACATGGCAAAGGCTATGAGTCCAGAGGGGAGTGGAGAGGACACCATTAACACAGTCTGCTACACTGGGAACATAGGGAACTGTTCAAATATTTTATTGGAGCATCTCAAATAATCATATTTATCTGCCCCTCCCCACAATAATGCTGTCCACTAGGTCTTTGCTTTGGCTGGGATAGATCTGTTTAGTAGAGATATACTGATTATTTCCTGCCTAATCAGAAGCTTTATCATTGAATGTCTTTCTTTATAAAAAGGCAGAAGGAGGAATTAATTAGCAATATAGGCAGCTAATTGGTAAAGTCTTTCAAAATCTAAAAGAGGGACTTCTTGTTCCACTCTGAGGTGTAGTTAGGAGGAGCATTAAGGCTTAGCAGAAGGAGAGGTATACCCACTTCCAGGCATTAAAACTATTTATCTTAGTCTCTACTATCCTAGTCAAGATGTCCCATTTTACCAAAAATTATAAGACCTGCAAAAAAACTGCACACCCAAGGAACAAAGCTGTCATGAGAATCTGACTTAGATATGACACAGGTGTTGGAATTACATGACTGTGAATTTGAAAGAACTATAATTAATTGTTAAAGGCTCTGATGTAAAATTTGAAAGTTCAAGGTCATACAAGTAACTATTTTAGCAGTAGATAGACACTCTAAGAAAGAATCAAAGGAAACTCTAGAAATACAAAACTTGTAACAGAGAAAAGGAATGTCTTTGATGGGCTCCTTTGTACCCTTGACACAGCCAAGGAAAAGAATCCATGAAGTTGAAGATTGGTTAATAGGAATCACCCAAACTGAAACACAAAGGAAAAAATAAGTTAAAACAAAAATAACAACAACAAAAACAGTTGTAGAATTATATCAAATGTTCTCACATACAGCTAATAAGTATCTCTGAAAAGCAAGTAAGAGAATGGTAGGACAGAAGGAATATCTTAATGCCTGAAAATTTCTGCAAATTAATGATAGATGCCAAATCACAGATCCAAGAAGTTCAGAAAACACTAGAAAAATAAAAGAATACACCTAGCCACATCCTATTTAAACTACCAAATAACTCTCAAAACTCAATAAGAAAACAAATTTAAAAATAGGCAAAATATCTGGATACTTACTCAAAAATATACAAAGGGTAAATAAACATGAAAAAACATTGAACATTAACTACTGGGGAAAATGCAGGTGAAAACCACGGTGAGATAGCACAACACACCTCTTGGACTGACTACAACTTAAACACTTGAAAGAGCCAAGTGCTGAGGAGCTAATGGAGCTTCTGGAACTCCCTCTAGTGCTTATGGCAATGTAATAAAAGTACAGCCACCTTGAAAACGTTTGGCAGTGTTTTATAAAACTAAATACACACTTACCATATGAACTGGTTGTCGCCCTCCTAGGTCTTTACCCAAGTGTATTTTTAAAAACCATTCATGCCCAAATCTGTGCATGTTTATAGCAGTTTGATCCATAATCACGCCAAACTGGAACCGTTGCACCAACTGGTGAATGGATAAACTACCTGTGGTGCATCCACGCAGGGGAGTGCCGCTCAGCTATGGCAAGGAACACGCCGTTGATAGTGCAGTAGCTTGAATGGACCTTCAAGGGAATTTAGGGGCTAATAGAGCTGTTCTGTATGGTAACCCCCCCCCCCCGCATTTATCAAAACCCATTGAAGTATATACAACAGTTATTTCTGCTGTATGCAAATTAAACAGTATCAACCGGGAACCCAAAGGGGAATGCAGACTATCACAACAAATCTAACCGTATTACAACTCACATAACCACATGGGAGATGGGGGGAGAAAACTATGCCAAGTGGATCTGGTGAGACAGATAACCATACCGAAGCACTGTGTTCTAGTTGATCAGTTTTTGTTTTTATAGGGATACGGGTTTAATTCTGAAACCACTTTATACATTTTGTTTACATGTGCACTTTGTGTACATACTAGAGTTGAACAAATAAGTAATTATAATCCAGTTTTAACTGTCAGAGATTGAATCAAAGGGGAAATGTTAGAACAAACCCCATGGATATTGGATTGTTCTCAGAGGTATCAGTATGAATTGGTATGAATGCATGGTTTGTGTGTGTGCCTGTGTGTGTGTGTGTGTGTGTGTACACACACACAGATTTATATAGAAGTAAGTATGGATATGTGTATGCATGGATTAGTGTACTTTCCCTTGTCCACTGAGAGGACCTAGAATCAGTGCCATCCCAGTGGCCACCAACAACCTAGTACCCAGATTTTGGTTCCTAAATACCACTCTCCAATAAAAGGCACTAGAACCTTGGAGAAGTGGTTTATGCCAGTATTGGGTCAATGAAAATGCAAGATGAGCCTAAAGCATTTTGTGGTGTCAGGAAGTAAGGAGATGCTCTTTTTTTTTTTTTTTTTTAATTTCTAGGAGAGAGAGAGAGACAGCGTGAGCAGGGGAGGGTCAGAGAGAGAGGGAGTCACAGACTGAAACAGGCTCCAGGCTCTGAGCTGGCAGTCAGCACAGAGCCCGACGCGGGGCTCGAACCCACGAACCGCGAGACCATGACCCAAGCGAAAGTCGGACGCCTAACCGACTAAGCCACCCAGGCGCCCCAGGAGATGCTCTTTAAAGAAAACAACAACAACCAAAAAAGACATGTGGAAAGAACATAGGAGCCGACATGAAAGGTCTCAGTGGCCCAAACTGGAACAGTTTGAACAACTGTAAATTAAATAGCAGTAGTTACTAGATTATAAAAGAAACATCCATGAGCCCATACTGCTAGGCGTAAATAACTGAATAAATGGAGGAAGTGGTAACTTTTCCTTCTAGGATTCCAGATAATGTGAAAGGAATAAGGGAAATAGCAGATCTCCCACGATTAGAATATCACAGTAGTAATTGCTATAGACAAGATGGAGCAAAGAATGCTAAAATTCGTGGGAGAAACAAGATATTTAGCTGAAAATATGTCCTCCCCACCCCAAATATTTGTTAATTATAAAGGGAAAAGGTAGTCACTTGACAATGAAGAAACCCTACAGACACCACCTTAACTAAGTGATCGAGGTTAACGTTACCAGTAATAAGAAATGGGTACTGTGTGACCCTGGGCATGATGCGGTAGGAAGGGCTCATTACCTCTGTGGTCATTAATCCAAAAATCCACAAGCAAATCTAATTATGAGGAAATATAAGACAAACCTTAACTGAGGGACACTTTGCAAACACCTCAAGTCTTCCACAGTGTCAAGGTCATGAAAGACAAGGAAAGTTGAGTTGTCACAGATTGGAGGAGATCAAAGAGACATGGTAAGTTTACACAGTGTGGGATCCTGGGCCAGAATAAGGACATTGAGTGGAATAACCAGTGAAATCTGAGTAAAGTCCGTAGCTTAGCTAATAGTACTATGCCACTGTTAACTTCTTAGTTTTGATGATTGTGCTACGGTTATGTAAGATATTAACGTCAGGGGAAGCTGGCTGACGGATACACAGGAATGCTCTGTTCTATCTTTGCAACTTGTCTATAAGTCTAAAATTATTTAAAAATAAAAAGGCGCTTTTTTTTTTAAACTAAATGACACACACACAAAGGGGAAAAAACGATGTGTTCTTTGGTGAGAAGTTGGAAATGACTGGTTTAGATGAAGGAACGTCAGGAGCAGAAAGGGACCTCATGTATTTATAAGCCACACTTCCGTTTAGAGCTGAGTTAACTGAGAGGTAAGGGGACTTGGCCAAGGACACAGTGCTGGTGGCCATATGGGCAGGATTAGTACCCAGTTTCCTGGCTCCTCCGGTGCCACTTTCCATCCCACCCCCTGCCTCTCTGCTCCAGGGCAGGATTTTTCCTGTAACCGTTCTGATAAGGCTGTTTCTGCTTTGCATGTTTTTTCAAGTAGATTTCATAGTCCTGGTTAGATATCTTGCTGAGTCAGATAGCACCCGTGTTCCCTGTCGGGTGTCTGTTTTAATCACTTCTACCCTCCAGGTGATGGCTTACATATCTGTCTTACTCTTCTCAGCAGAAACTGGAGACGAGCAAACGGCCTCCGTCTGGGACTTCCACTACCTCCAAAAGCACCTCCCCCACACTCACGCCCTCCCCTTCACCCAAAGGGCACGCAGCCGAGTCCTCCGTGTCGTCCTCACCCCATCGCCAGTCCAAGAGCAGTGGGGGCTCCAGCAGCGGCACCATCACAGATGAGGGTGAGCCCCCCCCCACCAAGGTCCTGAAATGCCAGCCTTTCCTCTTTGCCACTGTGACCTGGCAGGTGCTCTCAGTTGCAACAGTTAGGTCCTGGGTCGAGTTTTTAAAATTCCAAACAATAACACCTGTCTCCATTCGTCCCCGATTCTGTCTTGTATTTTTGTCTTCGTTGTGCTAATGGTCCGGCAGGCAACCTGAAATCGTTTTTGAACATAGTTGAGTTTTGTTTACATACGCAGACATGCACTTGTAGAAATGCTGCTATAACACCAGTCATGTCCCTTTCCCTGAGCCTTGTACAGATCAGAATTCCGTCATTTGCAAGCAATGCAGTCTCCACTGGCACTGGTTTAAGCAAAAGCAAAAAACACAGCTTTGTTGGCTCATACAATGGAAGTGTTCAGGGAGCGCTTCAGGCATGTGTGGATCTAGGTACTTCGGGAGTATTTCTCTCTGTGCCTCAGGTAGGCTCTCTCTAGGTGGTGGCAAAGTTGTCCCCTACGAACTTCAGGCTTGCTTACTTTTCTTGCTCCCTTAGCAACGCCAGCAGAAAGAGTGCTGCTTTCTTGGTAGGTCCAGCAAGATCCTGGGGTAAATGTCACTGGCCTGCCCTGGCTCTGTTTACAATGACGGGACATTTGCCCATCCTTGACTATGCATCTGTGGCAGGGGAACGTGCTGATTGGCTGGGCGCAGGTCTCATGTCTGCCTTTGTAACTGGACATGGGGGTCTGCCCTGCTGACACTGTGTGGATTGGGAGCCAGAGAGAGGTGACTCCTCAAAGGAAAATCGAAGTGCTGTTTCCAGGAGGAGGAGGAGAGGGAGGGTGGCAAGCAGGGCCAGCAGCTGTCCTCTGTAACTAGGAGAACTTTAGAACCTGCGTGGGTGAAATGCAGGTCGCTCTTGTGGGGAAGATGCAGAAAGGAAGGTGGAGTGGAGGCCCCGCTGGGAGGCTCCAGATAAAGACAGGAAGATACAAAAGACAAAGAGAGATGACTGCCCTCTGGTGGTCCTGGCAGTGGGGAGAGGGGAAAAGGGGGAGCAGGGCTTTGGGGAGAGATGGGGCCCAGACAGGTGCAAGCCAAGTAGCAGCGTTCAGCGAGGGGGGAGAAATGTCAGGTGCGCCAGGGCCCCCCAGATGCAGCGTCTCGCGCAGATGTCTGGAGGAAGGTGCCCGGCAGGTGCTAAGTGCCCGGCAGGTGATAGGTTGAACTCAACCGTGCAGGCTGTGGTCTGCACTGAATTGATAAATGCGTGCCGCCGTTGGCCTCCTCTTTATTTGGGGGCTCCTGTTATTGTCTTGTGATATCTAGTGCGATCATTTATAAAAGCTTCAGAGACTCACTGGCAACCCCATTCCTCCCTAACCGTGTTTTCTATGTAGAATCATGAATTCTCCTACCTTAGAGGCTTTCGGGAATCTGAACTCTAAGAGGTTCAGTTAGGAATTTGTACCCCACCTTTTTTCAAAAAAGAGTGGCAGTGGTGGCTGTCTGTATGCACTGTCCATGCCCACTCTTTTTCCTCTCTCTTATTATTCAGAAAGGTGTGCAAGCCCTGGTTGGGATAAAAACAGAAGAGGAAGGACCTGACCGCAACTTCTTTTTAATTTCTCTGACGTAGGAAGCATAGTTTTCCCTTCCAGAGTTCCTGGGTCTGGAGGCAGCAAGACCTTTGTCCTGTGGGCATGAGATTGTCACAGGACAGAGCTTCAGTCCATCCCAAACAGCTACTATTTATGACATACTTCTGAGAAACACGAGCCCCAGTCGAGGACCATACGCAAGCCTTTGCCCTGCCCCGACTTCCCACCTACGGCCCCCTCCGGGCCCCCTCTGTGGGGAGTGGGAAGCCTGTGTCCTGGGCACCTTAACCTCTGCTGGGTCTGGGTAACTCAGTCAGGCTGAGGGCTCAGCTGCACTCGGCACCACAGCGCTAAGTAACCGTGACACAGATGGGGTCAGATCTGTGTCATCAGCTCAGTACTAGTGCTGTGGCACAGGCGTCACTGGAGAGCCGGCGCTCGGGCGGGGCTAGACTCCGCCTTTGAGTCTACGAGAGATGTATAAGCCAGGGATGGAACGCGGCCATCATAAGTCAGATTACAACAACAAATGCAAAGAAGCCAAAGAAAGAGTACAGTTTATGAACTTATACAGTTAAATTATGTTAAACATAAAAGCATAGGGTATTTAAAACAATATGTTACTATTAATTAATACATTTTACTAATAACGTGTGCTCTTTATGCAGTAGGAATACCATATAATGATGTGCTAGTACACACATCCCTTCTCCCTCCCACTTTCAGGAACATTAGTTACGTTGGTAGCTTAAAATCAGCCAGGAGGGGGGTGTTTACTCCATGACATCAGCAAATGGCACCAGTCGGGGTTCAGATTACTATCTCCTTGGCCATCTAGATGTAATCTGGACAGTGATGGAGAAAATGTCCATATTGCAGACAAAAGTTAAAAGTGTGTCTGTCCTATTGTGACTAGCACAAACAAATTGAAACAATGTTCTGCCGGGATTTTAAAACCATCATGTCATCGAGCAGAGTTGCTCACGTGAAGTCCAATATGCGTCTTTGTTGTTTCATTTCCTCTTCTGTGTTCCCACATGCGGAACCATCCAGCGTCCCTTTTGGAACTATGCTTCTTGGCTGTGGACTCCAGAGGAAGGCAGAAATGAGGGAGAGCATTCAGTGAGGTGCCTGCAATGCAACACAAGCATCGGCCACAGGGAATTTATAAGAAACAGCATTGTGTAGTTGATTATCATATGTAAATTGTGTGTTATACATCCTTTATATCAGTAAGGTCTGCTATAAGCTTATGTACGTACCTGCCTACCTACCTGCGTATATACGTGCATTTTCCCTCCAAGAGCCGGCTGTTAACCACTTACCGGCACCCTACCGCGGGGAAAGACTGTGTGGAGGGAACAGCCCGAGCAAAGGTTTGGTGCCATGGAGCCACAGTGGGTTCAGTGTGGACCGGGGCTCGATTCATCTCGTACACCCTAGCTCAGTAGTACTCTTCCGTGAAGCCTTCTCCAGTCCTTCAAGCGGGTAGCTGTCCTCTCTGTCCCCTTGCCGATGCCCCTCCTCATAACGCTTATCACCAAGGAGAGAGGTGGCACTGTGTAGCTGGGCCACTGGGTATGAATCCCTGCTTTCCTGCAGACTAGCGGTATAATCTCATTTGACACATGGTAGCCAGCCTCTTGTGCCTTGCTTCCTCGTCTGTAAACCGAGGCGGTGATAGGATTGTTGGGGTTGTTGTAAAGAGCAAATGGATTACCTGTGCACAGGGTGCCTGATGGTGCAACGGCTGTCACCCTCATCATTCTGTCTTCCCAACCACACTGAGTTCCTTCACAGCACGGACCTTTTCATCCTTGCACTCCCAGCATGTAGTAGTAGCAGTAGTAGTAGTAGTAGGCATGTTGGTAGCCACTCTTGAATAACAGAATTAAAAAAGGAACTCAGGCCTCCTAAATTGCACCCACTGCCCCAGGACCTTTGCACTTGCTGTTCCTTCTGCCTGAATAGTGCCTGGTGATCTTTCCCTTAGTATTACACAGTTCACTCTGTTTACTGCTCAAATGTTACCTTATATAAAGGAGACCTTCCTTTACCACTCTCTGTAATAAACAGTGTTCCCCCACTCCCTGTCATCTACCCCTGCCCTGCTCCAGTCTTCCTCACTGCCTTTGGCCTGGCAGCCTGCTTATCTCTTTTAGTCTTTGAGTCCCTAGTGCCTAGTCTGCTAAATCCCTGTTGAATGTGTGAACGAATATTTTTTCAAGCTACCCCCGACTCCCGCCCAAATGCCACTCTTGTCTCTTTTCTTCACCCTCCCTGCTCTGAAGTCATATCCAAAATCTTCTGTTTTCTCCTGCTCTGTGCCCCTCTGGCCCTGCTCTTCCACTCAGTTGTGTCTGTCCTTCCGTCAGGAAGCCCACAGCCTCCTCACACTGAGCCAAACTCCAGTTCTGGTCTGAAGCCACCTGCTTGTTCTCTTCAGTTTTCTCCCCGCCTCGCTGACAACTTGCCGGCATTAGCATTTGCTGCAGGTGCAGCTAGCAGCAGGCAAGAAATCATAATGAAAACCATCCTTGGACAGAAAGTGGGACTTTAGTCCCGGCAGCTAAAACTCTGAGAACTTGGGGGTTGCAACCAGTGGAAGGTCAGCCCGGCCACAGCAACCCCCCCATGTCGGGGTTTGGGGAGATGCCAAGGGCCTGCTCTGAGGGGGAGGGTACGACTCAGACCCAGCCCCGCTGCCTCCACCCGAGTGCATCTTAGATCTCCTTTCCATGTTGGAGTTTCTTGTGACATTTCATTTGAAATAAGATTGCCATTGCCACTGTTTCATGAAAGTTTGAAGACCACTGTTCTGGTGCCTTTTGCCAAATTCTAAAATATCTTTTCACATCTTTCCCTCTTGAAGATGAACTGACTGGAATCCTAAAGAAATTATCACTTGAGAAATATCAGCCCATTTTTGAGGAGCAAGAGGTAAGAATGTTATTTTTGGGTGTCCATCTAAACCTTACTGTAAAAAAAAAAATAGTCTTGCACATACGGGTGTTGACCCTGCACGCCTGACTGGTGTCTCTCCCTGCCCCGGAGACAGAGTTTGTGCTCAGCACACTCAGTGCAGTTCCCCGCAGTGAAGTCCCAGGGACCTTCTGGCTTGTTCTGTTGGAACAGAATTGTGTGATCGCGAGCACTGCTCTCGCCAGCAAAGTTTGCGTCTGTCCTGCACGCACTTCCGTCGAAGGGGATTGACTGGCAGGCTTTCAGATTAAAAGAGGGTCAAAAGCAAATCCTGATGAATCTGTGCTAAGTGTCTGCGTGCAGGGTCAGTGTTAATCTGAGGGAGCTCCCATTTGCTTAAAAGCACTCACAGTCAAATTTTAAAAAAAACAACAACACTGCTTTGCAGTTTGGCCGTTTCTCAAAATGTTAAACATAGAATTCCCATGTGACCCAGCAATCCCACTCCTGGGTATGTGCCCAAGAGAACTGAAAACATATGTCCACACCAAGACTCGCACATGAATGTTCACAGCCACCTTCTTCCTAATAGCCACCAAGTGGCAGACAGCTCTGCTGTCCATCAGCTGATGAGTGGCCAGGTTTGTTATCGCTATTCAGTGGAGTATGATTCGGCCATAAAAAGGAACAAGGCACTGACACGCCATGGCACGGATGAACCCTCAACACGTGATGCTGAGGAGAAGCCAGTCACAAAAGGCCACATATGGTATGATTCCATTTATAAGAAGTGTCCAGATTAGGCAACTCTGTAGAGACAGAGAGTAATCCCTGGTTGCCAGCGAGTGGGGGGAGCACAGAACAGGATGGGGGCAGCGACTGCTTATCTGGGGGTGGGTTTCTCTTTGCAGGTGACGAAAATGTTCTAAAATTGAGTGTGGTGATGGCTGCACAGCTCCAAATGTACTAAATCACTGGATGGTACGCTTAATTTCCTTAATTAAACAATTGTGTTGTTTGTGCATAGGTGACACACAGCGTTACGTTAGTTTCAGGTGTACGGCTCAGTGATGTGACAAGTTTATATGTTATGCCCTGTTCGCCACCAGTGTAGCTGCCATCTGCCCCATCGTGTCGCCAGTACAGTGGCATTGACTGTGTCCCCTATGGGTTGTGTACTTCAGATGGGTGGGGTGTATAGTAAGTGAATTACATCTCAATAAGTTGTTAAAAAACAACAACAACCTTATGTTTTGGCCTAATAAAACTCCTCTGCAGGCCCGCTAGCCACCAGGGTACACCCGTTGGTTTAGAATATTCTGCCCGGTTGACTGTGTGACAGCTGTCATCATCACAGTAGCAATCACAGCCACCACTCGGTGTCCCTGACAAGCTTGTGATGCTATTGAGGAGTTTGTACTTTGTTTAAAGAAGCAGGCAGAGTGCGGCGGCTTCCCTCCTCCATTTGCTTTTCCGCCGTATCCGGTGTGTCCTCCCTGCGTCTTTGGCATTTTAAACTTCAGCGGTGACTTTTTCTCATCGCCAAGAAGTCTTCCCCGTGTGCTGATGGCTGCCTGCTTTTGTTTCCTACATTCCATGCCTTCCTGGGGTGTACAGAGAGCACGTCTCCAGTGATCTGTCGGTTCCCTAAGGCAGCGGTGCTTCTGAGTTCTTGGCTGCACCCCAGGTTTGGAGCTGGCCTGTCTGGGGGCACACCTGTCATTCACCGCTGTCCGGTTCTTGCAGGTGTCCCTTGTAGGGAACTGATGTATGTTCCAGAAGAGATGGCAAGCTTTCGGAGCTTTAAAGGGAAGGGAGAGAGCAGACCATCCAGATTTGCGGTGGTCTCAACCCACCCAGCTGAAAGTCCCCACAGTCTCTGGGATTGGGGGACGTGCGGAGGCCTGAGACAGCACCGTTGGAGGGGTGCTGGGAGCCGCTGGCCGGAGGGTTTCTGTGTGTGAGTTCGCTGAGCCGGCACCCTTGCCGGGAGCCAGCTCAGCTGTCCCCCACCCCTGTGCTCAGCCCCTCTCTGGACAGCATACAAGCTAGGTAGTGCTGTGTGAGATTGGCGGTCTATCCACACAGAGATCCCATGCTCCCTTGAAGGCTCTGATGGGACTCGGGTTTTAACACCCTTGCTCACCCCTGCCCTAACCTCCTCACCCGTCTCCACAGCTGCAGTCCCATAAGGAACTCCTCGAAGAACCTGGCATGCACTTCCAGGGCTGGTAAACAGTCCTCACTATTACTGTGTGCTTTTAGTCCTGGTTGAGAATTTGAAAGAGGAGTGAAGTTAATACGTTTTCTCCTCTTGCCATTTTGAAACTGAAGACAGACAAATAATTTTCACGTCTCTACTTATGTTAGGATGGATTTGGCTGCATGTATTGGAAAATCCCCAAATAATAGTATCTTAAACAAAATGGAAGTCTCCTCCCCCCCCCCCCCCCCCCCCCCCCCCCGCACAGGAAGTTTTGAGGTGAGTTGTCTAAGTTCCTTCTAGCTCTCTGCTCCACCATCACTAGGGTGTGTGGCCCTTGTCCTCAGGGTCCAGTATGCTTGCTGGAGCTCCAGCCACTACATCCACATTCTAGGTGGCAGGATGGAAGGAGGCAGAGAAAAGACACATGCTCTCCTTTTTTAGAGAGGCTTCCTCAAAGTAACATAAACCTTCTCATATCTCATTAGCCAGAAGTTTGTCAATTGACATACTCATATGCAAGGGAAACTCAAAAATACAGTACTTTAGCTTCATGGAAATGTGCCTCGCTGACAACTCGGATTCTATTACTAAAAAAAAGTAGGGCATGAATATTGAAAGGACACAGATGTTTCTGCCGCATCCTGCTAACCCTTCAGCAGTACTCACATGAGGAGAATTCAGTCTCTGGCTTCTCCACCTAAAATGAGCTGTGAGGATTTGGCAACCCCCAGGGTTGACAGAGGTCAGAGATTGAGAAGATCAGTGCAGATGGGGATGCAGTCGAATATCGACTGACGTGGTCACTCGGTCAGTCAGCAAACACTCCTCGGGTCTCTGTCCCCCTCCCAGGCCCTCTGCCAGTGCCCGACCCTGGGATAGGGAGAAACACCCACAGTCCGGGAGCCCAAGGAAGGGGCCTATAAACTGAGGGCCAGAGGAGCCCTCAGCTGAGCATAGACTGAGCCTTATATGAGGGGAGTGAGGCCAGAAGGGCAGCTGGGAAGAGGGAGCAGACGTGTGCCGAGAGCCGTCAGCACGTTGGCCTGGTCGAGTCCTGACAGAGGCTGGCACATCTGGAGCAGAGAGGGCCTGGCCAGCATGGACATGACCCTCTGGAACACCGTCTGGAGGCAGATGAGGTCCGGCAAGATCTCCGGCCTTGGTGTGGATGGTGGCCCAGGGTCGGTAGGGGAGTTAGGGCAGACTCACAGGGAGGGAGACTCCAGGCAGACGGCCGGGGCAGGGGCGAGATGGCCCTGGACAGGGGCGCAGAGAGGTGCCGAGGATGGCCTGGGGGCAGGCGGGGGGCGCGTGTGAGGGGAGGAGGGAGTGTCTGGCACTGTCAGGGGCAGGCGGGTTCTGTCAGAACCATGTCATCTGTTCTGTCAGGCCCTCAGCCCCGTGTGAACTGTCATCCCAGGGAGGGACAGGGAGACGGGGGATGCCTGCACCTCAGATTGGGGCTTGTAAGGGAGCAGACTCTTCCCCACTGACTCGCACCTGGTTCAGGGCTTTTTTAATCCGGGAAAGTAGAATGACAGTTAAAATAGAGAAGGAAAGATAGGGAAAAGTTTTCAGAAAAAAATTCTGTTATTTCTGCATACATCAAATATCTTGAAGAAAAGTGTTTAAAATCTCGTTCGGTATCTGTGAGGGAACATAAAGCTTACTTTAAAAAAATTTTTTTTTTGCATTTATTCCTTTTTTTGAGAGAGAGAGAGAGAGTGTGTGAGCAGGGGAGGCACAGAGAGGGAGGGAGATGCAGAATCTGAAGCAGGCTCCAGGCTCTAAGCTGTCAGCACAGAGCCCGACGCGGGGCCTGAACTCAGGAACCGTGAGATCATGACCTGAGCTTAAGTCGGATGCTTAACTGACTGAGCCACCCAGGTGCCCCTAAAACAAAACCTACTTCTAAAGTGAAGGACTAACGGGGCACCTGGGTGGTTCAGTCAGTTAAGCATCTGACTTTAGCTCAGGTCATGATCTCACGGTTTCTGAGTTCAAACCCCGCGTCGGGGTCTGTGCTGACTGCTCACAGCTTGGAGCCTGCTTCAGATTCTGTGTCTCCCTCTCTCTGCCCCTCCTCCTGCTCACACTCTGTCTCTCTCAAAAATAAACTTTGAAAAAATAAAGTGGAGGACTAAGGATAAATTACAGAAGTTTTTTTTTTAACTTGTTTGAATGTTTATTTATTTTTGAGAGACAGAGAACAATCAAGGGAGGAGAAGAGACAGAGGCTCAGCTCTAACTCATAAGCTGAGAGATCATGACCTGAGCTATAGTCAGAGGCTTAACCAACTGAGCCACCCAGGTGCCCAGGAAACTTTATTTTAAATGACAGCAGAATTATATAATATAAAACTATAGTATCTTTATAATTTATAAATGTAGTTCACAAAGCTCTGCCTAAAGTTTCTGTAGAGCCTACAGCCACCTATAGGTGAGGTGGTGAGAGAATCCGTACATTTCAGGTGGGAAATGGAAGTACCTGCCCGAGGCCCCAGGCGGCATGTGGGGATTGAGGCCCGTCTGTCCGTGTCTGCCTCCTCTCCCTAGCACGGGCTGGAGATGAGGCTGTGGGAGGCCAGCGCCCTCCTACCTCTCCCAGATGACTGCTCTTTTGGGGTCTAATATTCGAGAGCCCGTACAGGTGACAGGACCTGTTCGTCCTCAGGGAGCATCAAGTTCTGTTAACAAGGAGGCCGCTGCCCTCAGAAATTCCAAGAGGGAACACAGGGACGGCGGCTGCAGCATCGAAGGGTGACGTGACCCCATGGAGAAGAGCGAGGACTCTTGGAGCCTGCTGCCTGGGTTCAAATCTTGGCTTTCACTGACTTGTCATGTGACTTTGGAAACCGAATCTCTCCATGGCTCGGTTTCCCTGTCCCCAAATGGCCAACGGTGGTATATTCACCTTACATTGTAAGGTGTAAACCACTCGGTCTGTGTCCTCCCCACCCCCACCTGACAGTGTGACTCCAGGACAGATCTGGGGTGTGTAGGGCCGGCCTCCACCCTCTGTGTGTGAGGGCGGGTGTGCTTGCTTCTTCCGAGCCACATCTGACCTTTGAAGGAGAGACTCTGGAGCGGGGAGGCCCGTTAGTGTTCTTCCTGGAGCTGAGGCCTTAGCAGGGGTGTTAGGATGTCACCTGTAGAAGCCAAGGGCCGTACAGCTTTGAGACGCCCTGGTTCTGAGCCCTCCTCTGCTTCAGTTCTCCATGGCCCTTCTTCCCTTTATCGCTTCTGCCTGTTTATTTTCTCACTCTGTCTTTCCACAGTCTGCATCTCCCTTGTCCTCTGGGGGGAAACGTGGTGAGTACCACCGTTTCTGTGCAGTTCCCAACATCGTCTGAAGTACAGCAACACTGGAACCAACTTTCTAATAGCGGACTCGGATTTGCACCCCTCGGGCCACCCACCTTACAGTCTTGGAGGCTCTCCTTCCTTGTTAAATGGTCAGGGCCTTTTCTAGAACTTTCCAAAATATACCTGTCCTGAAATTCCCAGGCCTAGAGCTGAGGAGAGTTAGTCCTTCATAATAATACTTTCAACTAAACTTTCATCGTAAAGTCAGGAATTGGAAGTAGTAAATCATAATTAATTCATTACTAATAAGCACTAATAGTCCATAATCATGATATCTCTGTTGTGGTTGGAAAAAAGAGGTATGGTGTCAAGCAGATGGTAGCAGATCCCCCTTCTCTCTGCAGGTGGATATGGAAGCGTTCCTCACACTCACTGACGGCGACCTGAAGGAGCTGGGCATTAAGACAGATGGGTCCAGGCAGCAGATTTTGGCAGCAATTTCTGAACTGAATGCAGGCAAGGTATTGTTCTCCATCTTTTTTGTCCCATTGCAAACAATGGAGAGCTTCACTAGCTGGGGCCCCAGGCCCTCTGTGCTCCCAAGGACGTTTGTGGTCTGATTTCATCTTCTCTGGAACATCTGGCAGAGGAGGCCCCTGTGCACGCCTCTCATGACCCAGCACTCACTACGTCCCTGTACCTTTTCCAGGTCTGTCTTCCCATGGATTCAGCAAAAGTGTTCCCTGGGGAAATTTCAACCCACAGTCTGGGTGTTACCCTCCAGTGCACAGTGGGATCAGAGCGCTTGTCTAATAGGTCGGTGGGGTCAGGCCCACATGGGTGTGAACCCACTGCTCCCCTTACTGTGTCACCTAGAAGTCATCACCTCTCTGTGTCTTACTTTCCTCACCTGTTGTGATGGCCGGGGACAGTGGGGCCATCGCCAGGACCAAAATGCTTAGGGCCCCTGGCACACACAGACCCATCAATCACTGTTGTTGTCATCGGCGCCTGCATTTTTGTCTGACGTTAAATTTCTGTCTCACCAGCTTTAAACTAAAGATTAACCATGCCCCTCCCCCCTCAAGGCACACATGAAAAGAACAGTGAAAACAATGAGAAGCAAGTCACCATTCACTTTGCAGACCTTAGTTGTACAGTGCTGTTGGGCTATTAAAGCTCCCTCATTTTCTGCTTTTTTTCTCTGACACGGGATGGACTTTTCTGTCTCGCTCCAGCAACGCGTAGGCCCCATTACCTGTTGCTCTTTCACGCCTTGCCTGACCGCCACCCTCTTGTAAGACAGTCGTGCGGCATGTGGGGTTTTGCCGTTACAAATACCACCACAGCAGGCATCTCCGCCTCGTTCCTTTTCCTTCTGTTGTTCCGTTCCTCAGGCTGCACTCCACGGTACGAGGCTGTGTCGGAGAGCGTGACCGGTCTCACGGGTCTTTCTGGGTATTGCCGGGCGTGCGCGCAAATATTGAACAGGCTTGGAGCGCCGACAGCAAGTAAATATTCATGTCTCGCTTCATCATTCACGAGACACTCCACATACATTTCCCCAGCTAAGCCGAGGAGGCTGTGTCCTCACACTCGCCCCGTCTGGCTGCTGGTGGCCGGCCAGGGCCAGGGAGCGGAGCCCCAGGGAGGCAGGCGGCGCAGGTGGAGAGGCGGGACCTGCACCCAGTCTTCCTGTGTCCCCCCAGCATGGGCTGCGTGGGCGCGGCTCCGGCCCTCCTTGCCGGGAGGTGGGTCTTAGTGCCATCGTCGCCGTCATTACTTGACCTGTTCGTCGGCTGCGAGGCGGGCCTTCAGAGTGGTTTGGCTGGCAGGACTTCCAGCGCTTGCGTTTTCCGCTGAGTCTCTCTTGTCAGTTCTTCTTCCGCTATTAGTAGCCTGTTCCTGTACACTGCTCATCTGTAGCATGGGCCCGGCCGCCTCCCTTTAGGAGGGGGAAGTTGAGGCTCAGAGACGGACAGCGAGCCCTGGCTCCCAGCCCAGCACCGCTTCTGCTCCGTTGTAGATGAGGAGGGAGGGAGAGAAGCAGGCATGGGGCTGCTGGAGGTGGGCGAGCCTGGGCTAGTAGGAGGGGCTTACCAGGGTGGCTCATGGGGCACCAGTCAGCTGGAGCAAGCACTGGGGTCTTTGGAGCATTGATTTAGTCATGAGAAATAACCCTTGACTCTCCACCATGTCCCAGGCACTCTGTGGATGTTAGGCACTGAGCACACTTTGTGCCCAGCCCTGCTCTGAGCCTGTCACGTCTAGTCATACATTTAACTTCATAGAAGCCACTGAGGCCAATTCCAGTTCATAGATGAAGGAACTGAGGCACAGAGCAGTTAAGGGACTTGCCTAAAATCACGTAATTGGTAAATGTCAGAGCCAGAATTGGAATCCAGAGTTTGTGCGCTGACCACTCTGCTGCCCTGCCTCAGGGTAACCCACACAGGCACATTAAGGAGAGCTCCTGACTTCAGGAGGAGGCTGGAAAGGCAAGGTCTTGGAAGATATTCCCAAGGAAGTGGCAGGAGGGCTGGGATCTGAAGAAAGATGGGAGCCATGGGGTAGAGGGCTAGAAGAGTGCAGACCAGGCAGAGGGATGCACATGTGCAAAGGCCCTGTGGTGAGAGGGTGTGCAGAGCCTCTCAAGAACTAAAGAAGTGCCAAAGCTGAGATCAGGACGAGTGGTGTGAGGAGAGGCCACAGGGGACGTACGAGGGCCTCAGGGTGGTTGAGAGGGATCCAGTCAAGTAAGGCCAAGGGTTTTGGGGAGGAGGTAGGCGAGGGATGGTAGGTGAATGTGGCTCAGGGGTTAAAGGACCCTTCCTGCTTCTGGCTCCAGAGGCCAGATGTGTGAGCCAAGGAGAGGATGGAGGTGGGGGAAGTGAAGCCAACCAAGAAAAGACAGGTAAGGTACTAGAAATAGGGCTAGTGAGGACCGGGGAGGGTGTGGGGGGACAGGCCAGGAGCTGGGTGCCACTAGAGCCTGGCCCAGGGTATGGTAGATAGTAGCTGCAAATGCTTCCAGAACTTCCCTTCTGCCCTCGACAGCCATGGCCTTTGTAGTCTGGGATCCCAGCAAGGGGGCAGACTGCGCCAGCTTGAAAATGTCAGGAAGGGTGACTGCTGTCATAGAGTGAAGGGTCTCGCCGCTCCACAGGAGAACATTTTTCTTAATATTTACACAAACTGGGACCATTTTTCTCTCAGATTCATTGCCCCCACACTCTCTTTCTGTAATGGTCTGCGTCCTGCACCAGATAAGGCCCCGTCCAGAGAAGCAAAGGCAGCACAGCTGGTGGTGGTGGTCTTGGTTCGACCAAGGCCCCTGCATGACCAAGGGCTACGTACTGGCTGGCTTGTGAGCAACAGGAATTTATTTCTCACAGCATGGAGGTTGCAAGACAAGATCAGGGTGCCAGCATGGTAGATATCTGTGAGGGGCCTCTTCCAAGTTGCAGACTGCCGACCTCGCACCGTGTCCTCACACGGCAGGGGACGGGGAAGCAAGCCCTGTCCCACGGGGCACTCATGCCATCGTGGGAGCCCCCCTTGTGACCTCGTCTAAGCACCGTCACCTCCTGAAGGCCCCACCCCTTCATTACATCATACCAGGGATGGGGTTTCAACATGTGAACTGGGGGGGGGGACACATTCCTTCTGTAAGTGGTCTTTGGGGGCGCCAGCTGACCACTCCCAACCAGGAGACCCGGCGCTTCCGACCTGCGACTGAGGGTCTGCCCTGTCCCACCCACGTTCTTCCCGCAGGCAGCGCCCACCCTCAAAGCCAGGGGATCCCACATGGAAACAGGTGCAGAGGGAAGTTCTGAGCTACAGAGTCCTGTGAAAGTGAGGGCCACGTACCACGACGTGCCGGGGAGCAAAAACATGGCTGCGGCAACGCTAAGCATTACAAAAACAGGTTTATCGTCTGTACCAGCCACGGGTTCCCGTTGGAGCTATGTGCTGCTTCTTAGCAAGCCAATTGTGGCTTTTTGGAGCCCTTTAGATGGCTCTTGGATGCCCTGAGCCTCAGCTGTTCTGGGCTGCACCTGCCTCACTCTAACTTCAGGGCTCCCTGCCTCTTTCTTGATTGCTACAGGGCACCAATCCTCCCTTCAGTGTTCATACTTTTCCTTTAGCAACTCAGCCTTTGCCAGGAGAGTACCCACTGGTGGCTCAAACGGTCTGTACACATTCGAGAACCCACACAGGACCCATGAGAGAGGGGGCCCCGATTTCCTTGCCCACTAGTGTCATAATGTCTTAATGGCCATGGTCCACAGCTTGTCAGGCTCAGAGGGTGTGCACTCAATTTAGTGGTTTGGCAGCAGCTTTTTATTTATTATTATTATTGTTAGTTTAATGTTTATTTTTGTTTTTTGGTTTTATTTATTTTTGAGACAGAGGCAGAGCACGAGTGGGGGAAGGGCAGAGAGAGAGGGAGACACAGAATCTGAAACAGGTTCCAGGCTCCGAGCTGTCAGCACAGAACCCAACGCGGGGCTCAAACCCACGAACTGTGAGATCGTGACCTGACCCGAAGTCGGACACTCAACCGACTGAGCTACCCAGGCACCCTATGTTTATTTTTGAGAGAGAGGATGTGAGTCAGGGAGGGGCAGAGAGAGAGGGAATGCAGAATCTGAAGCAGGCTCCAAGCTCTCAGCCCAGAGCCTGACGCGGGGCTTGAACTCATGAATCATGAGATCGTGACCTGAGCCAAAGTCAGACACTTAACTGACTGAGCCACCCAAGCACCCCTACAGTAGCTTAAAAACAGAATAGGGTAGAAAATGTAGGAGGGTAAAATTTGTTTCAGTTTTATGTATTTGCACATAACAAGGTTGTGATATAAAATGTAGTTCTTAAACAGTTAAAAATCGTTTGAACACTTTAGCCTAAAATGTTTTTTTTTTTTTTTAAATAAATATAAGCCAGGGCACCTGGGTGGCTCAGTCAGTTAAGCATCTGACTTCAGCTCAGGTCATGATGTCATGAGTCGTGGGTTCGAGCCCCGCATCGGGCTCTGTGCTGACAGCTCAGAGCCTGGAGCCTGTTTCAGGTTCTGTGTCTGCCTCTCTCTCTGCCCTTTCCCTGCTCGTGCTGTGTCTCTCTGTCTCAAAAATAAATAAAAAAACTATAAAAAATTTTCTAAAATATATAAGCCCCAAACCCTAACTTGGCCATAAAAATATCAGCAAAGCAGTATGGATCCTCAGCCTTACAAGTCATCGACCTTCTGGGTGACCCTCCCCTCCGGTACTCACATTGGAATGTGTGTTGGAGACCGCTTATCAGTTTGAAACGGTTTCTGCGTCGGAGAAGGTCAGTGAGGAAGCTCACCTGCATGTATTTCACCTTTGGTTGGTCCTAAGCCATTGCTTCTCTGCACTGCCATTTTTTTGTGTGATTATCAAAGCAGTGTACATTCATTTTGCTAAATTTGCACAGTGCCACAGAGGTGAAAAGACTTTTTAAAGGAATCACGACCCAACCACCCAGAGGCCAAGGCTTTTCACATTTGGGACGAACGCTGCAGTGTTTTGTGCCAAATGTTTTTTTCTCCATGGCTGAGATAAATTTGGATCTATAATTTTACATCCTACTTTCTTCATTTAACATTAAATATATGCAGTTACCCATGTCATTAAAAATTCTTTTAATACGATAAATTTACACGGATGTACTAAAATTAATCTATCTTAAATCCCTACTTGTTGGATAGGTAGCAGTCCAAACTTTCTATTAATAGTGAGTGCTGCAGTGGGCAACTTTGTGTGTAAGGCTTTCTAATTACCTCCTCAGAATAGATGCCTAAAAGTGGAATTTTGGAGTCAAAGAGTCTAAATCAAGGTATACGGCGTTTCTTCCTGAATTGCTTTCCAAAAAGAGCCAGTGAACATCTCTACCAGCTGTGGGAGTATAGTTCTAGCATCAGTGTGAATCCCTGCCAGGATTGAGTACTATTAGTTTGTCTTTAAATTTTTATTAATTTGAGAGTCCAAAAACCATGCCTTGTTTTAATTTGTATTTCTTTAACTATGAGGTAGACTGAATGCTTTTTTTTCTACTTTTAATGACCATTCGCTTTTTCCCTTTTAAGAATCATCAAGCAGGTCCTTTGAAGCTCAGGGGGTTTTAGGGGCAATTATTATCATCATCTTCAATCAGCAGTGGATTCGGGGAACGATTATGGTTTTCATCATCCACGGCTCCCTCCTAAGTAGGAGGCAGAGTGCTGGAACCCTGTCTCATCCTGACCTCCTTTCTCCAGCAATTAAGGCTAAGGTAGTGTTTAATAATGACATGGCTGTCATCCCTCCTGTTTATTTTTTAGCCCTTTACAGTTTGCACAGTGTCACCCTGTTCTTTATCTCGGGTTGAGCGTCATCACAGCCCCAACACGTCCTACTGTCCCCATTTTATAGATAGGACACCCGACAGCAAGGGGCCCTGTCTGGGATGCCGCCACTAGGGGGCGGTAGAATAGGGACTCACTGTCCTCACAACCGCATCTGGTGCTCTGTCCTCTGCCCTGCTGCCTTTAGGTTTGTGTTGTTGAGCTCCTGGGGGCATTTTTCTAGCTGATTTAACTTACCTGGAAGGATTGGCATGCCAGGAGGCCTTACTGCCCCCTCCGGTGTCCAAGAAGGCCTCAACAGCAGTAGAGGTCCCTTCTCTGGGGTCTGGAGAGGCCACAAAAAGAAGAGAAAGGCTCGTTCAGTAGACTTTTTTTTTCTTTGTACTCCTGGCAGAGAGTAATCTACCAGAGACTATTCATTTTTAATTTGCTTTACAGTTTGACTGCCACATTTGTTGGTTTTAAAAATATGTCTTTGGGGGGCTCCTGGGTGGCTCAGTTGGTTACGTGTCTGACTTCAGTTCAGGTCACGATCTCACGGTTTGTGGGTTCAAGCCCCGTGTCAAATTTTGTTCTCATAGCTCATAGCCTGGAGCTATGTGTCCTTCTCTCTGCCCCTCCCCAACTTGTGCTCTATCTCTCTCTGTCTCTCTCTCAAAAATAAACATTAACATTTTTTTAAAAATATGTGTTTGGGGGTACCTGGGTGTCTCAGTTGGTTAAACATCCAACTCTTGACCTTAGCTCAGGTCTTGATCTCGGTCATGAGATCAAGCTCTGCCTAGTATGAAGCCTACTTAAAAAATTGTGTGTGTGTGTGTGTATACACGCACACTGAGACAACACTGCTATCCTCTGACAACAGGACCTGTCAGCCTCCTGCTGCCCACGTAAGGTCTGCTGTCACCAGCAACCATTTGAGTGCCATTGCTATCCCATTTTACAGATAAGGAAACTAAGACCCAGAGAGGTTAAGTGTCTTGTTCAGGGTCACCCAACTAGTAAGTGGGAGGAATGGGATTTGAACCTTGGCTGTTTGGTTCCAGTCTCGGCTCTTAACTGCTGTGTATCGCTGCCTCTCAGCCAGGTATTCAGTGAAGATGTTCTCTGGGCTGAAAGAAACATCTCCATCCTCCCTTTTTTACCATCTCAAAACGTGTGTTGAGCAGTGGGGTTGCAGGGGAATGTTGCACAGATAGAAAGAGAAGTGAATCACTGTGATGAGGAATCTGACATCTTTTGCGCTTGGGGCATTGAGGCAGTTCAAACTCTGTAGCGGAAAGAAGTTCATCTCCCACTCAACCCCCTGGAACTCTGAGGGCTAGAAAGACACACGGTGAGTCAGGGGAGGAAACTTCCCTTGCAGGCCATGTGACCCAGGGCAAGTCGGTCCAGCTCCCTGGGCTCTGTGTCCTGTCCTTGTCTGGGAGGTTGGACCCCTGCATCTCGGGGGCCCTCTCCAGCCTTGCGTGCTTGATTGTGGGTGCTGGAGGATGTTCTGACTCCGTGTGTTTTTATTAAACTCAGTACTCTCTTAATCAGATAATTTATTTCCCCTGCGACACCCATGGGTTTCTAAAGTGTAAGTTGAGGATTAACAACACTGTGTCAATTGAACTCATAGTTAAAAGATTTAACAGGACTTTGTGTCTGTTTTCAATTTCCTCCACAGGGACGCGAGAGACAGATTTTACAGGAAACCATTCACAACTTCCACTCTTCCTTTGAGAGCAGTGCCAGCAACACCAGGGCCCCTGGAAACAATCCTTGTACATGATCTCCCTCCTGTGGTCACCAGCGCAAGCTTTCTGAATCCCAGTACTGCCCTCACACAGCCAGTGCTCCAACCACCATCGGCTCTTCCCCATTCCCTGAAACAGACCACGCTTTGTCACACCACCATGCCTTTGTCACGTTCCCTCTGCCCAGAACACTTGTCTTCCCTTCCCTGCTGCAGTAGTTGGTGATGCTCGTTGGTATAACAGACTCAAACATGGCAGTCTTATCCTCACATAAAGTCTGGTATGGCTGCTTCTGCATGACAGGTGACTTCATGCTGTGATTTGGGGACCCATCTCCTTTCTCCTTGCGGCCCTGCCCTCCCCCGGGGCCTCAGCATCTTTGCTTCTGGTTGGCAAAAAGCGGGAAGGGACAGTGGAGGAGGCACAGCCATTAACTACTTTCCTCTTAACTGCTCCTGTTCCATCTGTTCCTCTTCGTTCCATTTGCCTCCAGTGGTCACATGGCATCCTCTGACTGAAGGATGCTGGGAAATGTAGTCTTTGTTCTGGGGGTGGCTCCCTAACAGCAACTCTAAATTTAGCTGGGGCAGTGCGTGTTTTGGAGGATGCTTAGCCTTCCTTGATGCATCTTTCAGGAGAACTTCTAACTTGTTCTTTGTGATCCAAGTCACCATACAGTGAAGCCTTTCTTGATTTCCTTGTATGAAATGGACTTTTCAGCCCCTGGGGTCCTTTACTGCTTGTTTGAAACTGTTCCAGTGCTTGGCCTCACCTACTGCATACAGCATATGACAGGTGTTCAGGATGTGTATGTTGAATACGTTTCTCTTTGTTGCAAGGGCAGCCTTTTCAATAGGAGATGAGTAAGCCCATGGTGGGATCTTGGATCCCTTCTCCTTCCCGGCCTTCAGTGTCCTCACCTGCAAGATCAGCTGTTGGGCAGGATGATGCTCTAAGTCTACGCTGTTCGCCCCATATCACTGTCGGGCTTTCTGCACTGCTGGTGGGAGCAGAAGACCCTAATAGATTCTGTTGCGGAAGGACTTTGGTGCTCACATTTTCTAGACAAAGAAGCCAAGCATTTGGAATTTCTTGTATACCCTTTTAATGCTATGTTCCTCAGGAGGGAGTTCTTGTAATTTTCTCCCATGTCATTGTATGTTAGCGGCGCCCGACTTCTAAAATCCAGTAGCTTTTGGAAGTGTTTTCAAGTAAGGAATTCGTTTGGCCAGTGCTTGCTGCATTTGTTTTATGTGCTGGGCGCTGGGGATACAGGGACCGGCTGGAGCCAGTCCCACCCTTGGGGACCTCGAGAGGCAGGAGAAGATGCAAGTGGGTGATCCCAACCTCGAGAGGCAGTATGACAGTAGAAAGAGTTTGTGCTCTGGACTCAGGCTCCAGCCCCTTGGCTGGCCAGCTGTGTGGCAGGGACAGGTCACTTAGCCTCTTGCCCAGAGCTGAGAGCCAGTGTGCAGAAAGCATTTGGTCTACTGCTGACGAAGTAGTCAGCAGCCTTCACAGTTGCAGTCTTTGCCACGAGCTCTGTGGGACACATATCCTCAGGGGTTGCGGTCTCTCCCATGCCCCTCCCCAGCCGAAGGCCTGCTCCTCTCCGCTGAGCCCAGAGCCACCCCACGCGCGCCCTCTGCCTGTTGGGCCAACACCTCTGTCTACTCATCGCTCGTGCCGGCAGCTGCCGATGTGCAACATGACTCAAGAGAAGAGGTTTCACTTTGCCTTCACGGACAGGCATCTTTATCTTTATAAATGTGCCTCAAGCCCCGGCCTTTAATGAGAACCGGCCACACCTACTGTGTGCGGCAGCCTGCCCGCAGTGTCCTCCACCCTCACCGCCACGCCCGAGAATCCTGTGCATCTGGAAGATGCGCAGAGTGCAGCTGCAGGCCAGCCACAGCCCAGTGGGGGCGCTTCTGGGCCCCTGCCTTTCCAGCAACCCACGTAGCCGCCTGGAGCGGGAAGCACTGGAGACGCTTGCTGTTGGAATGGCCTCCTCTCACGGGGCGCCTGGGTGGCTTAGTCGGTTAAGCGTCCGACTTTCGCTTAGGCCATGATCTTGCGGTTCGTGGGTTCGAGCCTTGCGTCGGGCTCTGTGCTGACTGCCAGCTCAGAGCCTGAAGCCTGTTTCAGAGTCTGTGTCTCCCTCTCTCTGACCCTCCCCCTGCTCACGCTGTCTCTCTCTCTCTCTCTCCTAGAAATAAATAAAAATATTAAAAAAAAAAAAAAAAGGAATGGCCTCCTCTCTCCAGGCGTTGTCGAGGGACCTGGGGCTGATTGCCCCCGAAATACAGGGCCCGGTGTGACAGGCCTTGAGGGTGTGTCTGCTTCTTGCTGCTGTCCTGTTTTTTCATGACCCCTGTATTGGTACAGCCTCCTGTCAGATAGTTCTGACCCATACACGGGGCTGTGCTGGACGGTCAGATTCCCACAGTGCAGCCTCCCATGATGCCATCCGATGACCCCAGACACAGCTGGCCTGATTCCCAATTCGCAGACAGGAACACCGAGGCTCAGGACAGGTGTCTCGCTTGTCTTTTTCACTAAACTCTAGTGGTTCTAAGGCAGTTTGTGTGCAGACTGTTGAGAGATTCCTGGCACCCTTTCTGGGCCATGACTTCCCCCTTCCTGGTGGCCCCTGCCATCTCACACACATCCCCAGGCTGCCTGCAAGGGTCTGATCTCCTCCACAGTACGTGTTTCCCTTGTTCAGTGACCTTCACCAGCATTCCCCAAAGCGTGTTCCCTGAAACACTAGTTCCATAGGATGTTAATGGGTTTTTCATAAGGAAAAATAGAGTGTATATGTGGAAGTAGGGTGAGGCTCTGTGACCAGAAAGGTTTGGCAGGCACCAGCGTAAAGCCCAGTTACCAGACTGTCTTGCGGTCGGACACCCCAGAACCTTCAGCACACAGTGTGCGCTGGGCCTTTTCAGGGGGCCAGGTCGTACATAGCAGTTCCCGTATGTTTGATCGCAGTGCTTCATGGTGCTCTTGCAAGACAGACTCCTTGGACACTGTCCCGGAAACCCTGCTTTGACTGGGACAGTGGCAGCCATGAGGCCTCAGCCGCCGGGAGTAGGCAAGGGGGCACTCAGACTTCAGCTGGGTCAGGGGGCCTCGCTGCTCGTCCTTGCCCCGCGGCTCTTGGCCGAGGCGCCCTGCTTGCCAGCAGGATGTCAGGGTGGGGGAGTCCCCTGACTTTTACGTGATTGGGACCTTGCTCAGGGGACTCTCCATCCAGCTTGAGTGCGGGGTCCTGCCTGGTGTGTACTGGGCATCCGTGCCACGCCCCCCACTTCCCAGGGCATCCTCCCACCTTCCTTCCTTTGGTGCCAGACCTTTCCACAGAAGCTGGCCAGTTTTGCAAGGGGAATGCTTACTTTTTCATACTTCGTTCCCCAAGCATTCACTGAGCATCCAGCCTGAGCCTGCCCCTGCTTGTGTTTTAGATCCAGAGATGAAAATACACCCATCTCTGCCTTCAAGGAACCCACGGGGTTTTAGAGGAGCCAAGCGTGTAAATAAAACATTGCGGTGCTGTGGGAGGAGTCTTGTCATGACAGCGCGTGCTGGGTCCATGGCACAGAGAACGTCATCTGTGACGGCTGAGGTTTGGCCCCACAGGGGAGCTGGCAGGTGAGGAAGGGAAAGGGCACCCAGATTGAGGGACAGCCTGTGTGAACTGAGTCCGCGTATAACATTTGTGGGTTACATATTGCTGGAGACAAGTTAGGTACCTGTGTTTCTGATTTGGGTTGGGGTGTGTGTGTTTGGGTTTTTTTTGTTTGGTTTTTGTTGTTTGTTGTTTGTTTTTTTTGTTTTTTTGGTTTTTTTTTTGATTTGGGTTCTTTTCTTCGGAATGCATGGAAGCAACCTGTCGCCCTGGAATGAGCACCAAATCTAGAGTCAGCCCTAGCACTGGGGTTTGGCTTAGCCACTTGCTGAGTAACAGGGGGCTTATTTCTTCTCCTTGAATCTCAATTTCCCTCTTGGTTAGAAGGGGCTAGTGCTCCCCATGGTGCTGAGAATCAGATGAAAGTGAGAAAGCCCTTTTCATACTGCATGGAGCTTTGCATATCTGAGAACTCTCCACTATAGCTGCTGCACATTGAAATCAGTCTCTCTCTCTCTCTCTTTCCCTCCCCCGCCTCCCTCCCTTCCCCAACCCATACCGCCCACTCCATGGTTGGGGAGGGGGAGTAAGGCCAGAGGAAGGGGCCGGCGGCCAGAGGTAGCCCAGCTTAGATGGTGCTGCTGGCATCAGAGCCCAGGGACGCGGGGACTGACTGGATCCCCGCACTCCAGCTGTGCCGGACTCTGGGTGTTTGTGACTGGGATTCCCGGCAAGGTGGACAGAGAAAAGCAGGAAGGCGTTCGAGCCAGATTGCAGGAGTGGACCCAGGAGACAAAGAGGAAGCAGGAACCCCTTCCAGTTCCCTCTTTCCTTGGAGCTGCCCAAGGACACCGCCACACAGGCCAGGATCTGACGGCTGGGCGGCTGCTGACGTCCGCACTGACCTGCGCTGCCAAGAATGCCTCCCGAAGGCTCAGGACCCTTCCTGGGAAGATTCCGAAGCCCAGCCCGAGGGCGTTGTAAAGCATCATCTGTGCCCATCAGTCTTTGTCCATTTCAAGAAAGATAATCATGTCTTCTTAACTAACAGATCCTGTTCAGCATGTAAGGACACCTGATTTTTTCCCTGATAAAGTCAATACTAAATTTGGAGGACAGGCCGGGGGATGAATCTCCTCCCTGGAAGATGGGGTAGGCGAGTCACCTCCTCTGGGTGGGCTCTCCTTCCCTATTCCTGCAGGGCCAGCCAGGCTCCCTGCTAGCCTCAGGGGGCCTCTGCTCCTCTGTCACATGAAGCCCAGGAGCGGATTCGATCCTGCCTTGAGTTTTAGCCCCTCATCTAAGAAGCCAGTCTCTGTAGATGGTGACTCACCAACGCTTGGGATGACAGGAGGGACAAACACAGAATCCCCCGTAGCAGGACGGAGCAGAAAGCCCCGGTCGTCTGTCTCCAGCCCCTTCTAGCGTGGAGACGACCCCGGGCTCCCTTCTCAGGGCCCTGCCCAGTGGGTCAGGCCGATCCCAAGTCCCCAGCTCCTGTCAGAGCCACCTCCCCAGGGCTGATAGACACAGGGCACGGCCATCCTCTTCAGAGGGGCCTTGTGCCCACCTCCGGGTGGCTGGGGTAGAGTTTAGCCTTACCCTGCGCCCTCAGCAAGCCCCCTGTGTCGTCTGATAAGACACCAGGTTGCGCTTTTGCCTCAGCCCTGCGGAGTGGGTTTCCACAAATGTTACTTTTCATTAGTTTATGGTTATTGCCATGCAGGAACGTGATCCTTTAAAGGAGTTTTGTTTGCCAAGTGTGTATTAAATAACCGTGAATTTGTCTTCTCACTTTGATTTTGCTCATCGAAGGCATAAATACTGCTCAGATTTCTTCCAGTGATAACAATTAGAGCAGGCGCCTGCGGTGTGCCGGTGCGGCTGTAAGCTGTCCCGCCTCCTTCACAATTGCCCCATCAGGCAGCCTTCAAATTCCCTTTCTACCGATTCAGTGGCTGTGGCACGCAGATATTTTTTTCATCACAATAAGTGCACTCTTTAATCCCTATCGCCTGTTTCAACCATCCCCCCACCCACCTCACATTGGTGACCCTCAGTTTGTTCTCCCTAGTTAAGTGTCAGTTTCTTGGTTTGTCTCTCTCTCTCTCTATCCCCTCTGGTCATATCTGCACACAGATGTCAACCTCACCAAGGTCCCCCAGTTAACCAGCGATGGTGGGCTTCAATGCAGATCTCACCTCTCCCTGTTAGAGGAGCCACATTTTCTCCATGCTATCTTGCTGCCTTTCCACACAGAGAGAAACGTTCCATTGGTATAAGCCCAGCCAACAACAAAAATAAAACCTGTTAGTCTGTATGGCTTGTTCACAATTTTTTTTTTGTGGGTTTGCTCATGAAATACTATAAATACCTTGGAGATTCTCTTTGTTTCTTCTAAGAATCCTTACAAGTCCGGGGACTGCCTCATCTCCACCTCCTTTGGTATGAGTATGTCATGTTGGTGTGCTGAGCCCTGTAGAGCCTACAGGCAGTAGAAGGTGGTGTGGGTTCCAGTCCTGAAGTGGGTAGAGTGAGGCCAAGGTCTGTGAGGCCCCAGGGGATGGGGCAAAGATACTGCGGAGACCATGGGACTAGAGCCAGCTATCCCTGAGGAGGAGTCTTCCAGGAACCAGAGCTGCCTGTGAGAGGGAGCTTCCCCTAAGGCTGGGCAAGCCCGTACCTGGGCAGCCAGAGGGGGGAATTCAGACTTTGGATGTGAATGGGACCCAGCAATTGGTTCCCCCATGACCCAAAGGTGGGGATGAGGGGAGACAAGCAGGTATATAAGGCAATGAGTTTACGTGACGGTAAATATATGCCTTTTGTAGGGTTGACCTTGATGCAAGTCCCTTCCACTTTGGGAGAAGGGGTGGTGGTGGTGGTAGTTTTAGTTTTACTGATGTGTGAATCCAAAAGTCTGAGAAAAACCATCTTAGGTCATTTTTGAGGTCCCTTTGTGCCCTGTGATTCTATGAAAGTCTATAAAAAAGGGGAGTGGGCCATCAATAAATTAAATCTAGAATTACCATGTAACATAGCAATTCCACTCCCAACTAGAGACCCCACAGAATTGAAAATGGGTATTAAAAAAAACTTGGATGCAAATATTCAGAGCACTCTTCCCATTAACCAAAAGGTGGAGACGATCCAGATGGCCATCAAGAGACGAAGGGATAAACAAGATGTGGTGTAGCCACACAATGGAGCATTATCCAGCCATAAAAAGGAAGGAAATACACCTGCTGTGACAGAGACGAACCTTGAAAGCGTTAGAGTAAGCCAAAGAAGCCGGACACAAGAGATGACGTGTTCTGATACCATTAAGACAGAGTGCCCAGAGTAGGCAAATACACAGAGCTGGCCAGAGTTTGGAGGGCTGAGGAAACACGGCGTAACTGCTCGATGGGTAGGGGCTTTA